CATCCAACCCCAGTCACCCATCATACGTTGTCTGCTCTTGTGCTATGATATAAGATCTAGACTTCAGAGTGACAGTGCCAGGATCCGTCCTGATTGGTTCAATACATCGCTAGGTGACACTGGTGACGCTCCTGATTGGTGGATTCAAGAAGCGGGGGACATATGGAGACACTTCTGGTTGGTGGACTCTGGCGGCAGTTTGAGGACATCAGCCGTGACAATACAGAACATTAAAGTAGAAAGTTGAAGGGACATTAGTGACTTCATTTTTAGAGTGACATCCACAACAGAACCTGAAGAAGCTTTGTCTAATCATGAATGCATAAAATATCTAGCGGATTTCTGCTTAAGAAAAAATTGAGAAAGTTTTTTTAGAATTAAACTCTTTTGAAGTAATAAATATTTTTCATATTTGATCAGATTTAGTTAAAGGGTCAAAGGTACTGTTGTGAATCTTTTAATGAAAGGTCACTCCGTCACGGCACACTAAAGTAAGTTGCACGTAATAAAAGATAAAGCACCCCGAACTAACCAGAGAGAGAAGCATTCGGTTTCTTCTATATTTGAAATCAAACGTGTTTTCGTCTATATTTCTACAATCTTTAAACTTACGGATTTGTATATTTTATACTTTTCATTCAAAATGTTTATGCCAACAAAAAATTATTTCAGAATAAAGGCTATAAAATTATGTATATGGGGTCAAATTGTGATCGAAAGTCACAGCTTTCTGAAATACTGACAGAACCGTTAAATCCACGTGAAAGATTCAAATCATATATGTTATTAATAATAAATCCTCCTATTGAAGACTTATTTTTAAAAGAAGAAAACTGTTTGAATATCTCAGATGTAACCGAATAAGCTTGCTTCCTGTTCGTTAAATTAAAACTGGAGGAGCTACAAGGTAGCAAAGTGTTCCCAGTAATAACGTCGCATACATTTGACCTTCTCCCTCACTGTCTAGTTCACAGTGGCCGTTTTACTGCATAATTCGACATTTGATCATTTGGAATTTTTGGAACATCTTTTTCCGAGTGGCATGTCCTATTCACAACTGTTCCATTTAAAATTTTGTCTGAATAAATATGTAAAAGATAACCTTATTTTTCTTGCCAAAAGTTGATTTTTTTCCACTGTAGTGGTTTCTCTGTTGCTTAAGTGACTTATGGATTTATGCTACAAAGACAATGAAGGAAACTGTGATAATTCAACCCTTTTCAACATAGAAAACTAGGATATAACACACTTTAAAATATGCTTGAGGTGGCTGGCTGGAAAGTATATTGGATTTTAAAACTCATCCTAAAAACAATATTTTTCGAATTATTTATTATTATTATCATATCTTTCTTCTCAAAAGTCAATGTATTCAGAAAACAATGGAAAAATCTTACAATATAAATTATACATGTGTCATGAATGTTTCCGGCATTTCAATTTATTTCTCTGAAACGAGAGTTCTACAAATCTGCGTAGAGTCTATGATTACCCACGAGGTTTCGTGATTTAAGATTTAAAAATTGGATAAGAGGTTTCGTGACCTTTTCAATGAAATTAACTAAAATAATAGATATGCATCAAGCAATGTATATTCTAGGAAAATTTTAAGTGAACTGTGTACTTACAAATGAAATAAATAATCACTATTTAAATGTGTACTCACCAGAAAACTGTGTGCTCTCTAGTAAACTGTGTACTCACTAGTAAAATGTGTACTCACTAGTAAACTGTGTACTCACTAGTAAACTGTGTACTCACTAGTAAACTGTGTGTAAACTGTGTACTCACTAGTAAACTGTGTTCTCACTAGTAAACTGTGTACTCACTAGTAAACTGTGTACTCACTAGTAAACTGTGTACTCACTAGTAAACTGTGTACTCTCTAGTAAACTGTGTACTCACTAGTAAACTGTATACTCATTAGTAAACTGTGTACTCACTAGTGAATAGTGTACTCACTAGTGAATAGTGTACTCACTAGTAAACTGTGCACTCGCTAGTAATATGTGTACTCACTAGTAAACTGTGTACTCAGTAGTAAGCTGTGTACTCACTAGTAAACTGTGTACTCACTAGTGAACAGTGTACTTACTTGCAAAAACTGTGTTTTGTAAACTGTGTTGCATGGTGTACTGTAAATTGTGTAGTGTAAACTGTGTACTGCAAACTGTCTACTGTAAACTTGTGTACTGTAAACTGTGTACTCTGTATTATAACTATCTACAGGTTTCTAATTCAAAGTATAGAAACCATTATCTGTCAAAGAAAAATATTATTCATGAACTCAATAAAATGGTTTAACAAGGTCTCTCACCCTGCACTGTATTCCCTACAGCTTGGTTAACACCCTTATTACCTTACAAAGTTACAATACACAAAACTATTAAGATGAACGAGAAGAATAAAGGGACTGAGGACGTAATTTCAAGTGACTCTCAATTAGTATATTCTATGTAGTGGAATAGGAACAGATATTGTAGAGGAGTTGGAAATGGTATTGTAGTGGAGATGGGAATAACAGATATTGTAGTGGAGTGGGAACTGCAGATATTGTAAGGCATGGGAAAAAGATATTGTAGTGGAGTGGGAATTAAGATAAATTGTAGTGAGTGGGAAATAATAAATAGGCATGGGAAAAAGATATTGTAGTGGAGTGGGAATTAAGATAAATTGTAGTGAGTGGGAAATAATAAATAGATATTGTAACATATAATGGGAACATTTATTGTAGTGGAGTTGGAACAGATATATTGTAGTGGAGTGGGAACAGATATATTGTAGTGAAGTGGGAACAGATAAATTGTAGTGGAATGGGAACATTGTAGTGAAGTGGGAACAGATATTGTAGTGGATTGGGAACATTGTAATGAAGTGGGAACAGATATTGCAGTGGAGTGGGAACAGATATTGTAGTGGAATGGGAACAGATATTGTAGAGGAGTGGGAACAGATATTGTAGTGGAATGGGAACAGATATTGTAGTGGAGTGGGAACAGATAAATTGTAGTGGAATGGGAACATTGTAGTGAAGTGGGAACAGATATTGTAGTGAAGTGGGAACAGATATTGTAGTGGAGTGGGAACAGATATTGTAGTGGAATGGGAACAGATATTGTAGTGGAGTCCGGGAACAGATATTGTAGTGGAATGGGAACAGATATTGTAGTGGAATGGGAACAGATATTGTAGTGGAGTCCGGGAACAGATATTGTAGTGGAATGGGAACAGATGTAGTGGAGTGGGAGCAGATATTGTAGTGGAATGGGAACAGATATTGTAGTGGAATGGGAACAGATATTGTAGTGGAATGGGAACAGATATTGTAGTGGAGTGGGAACAGATATTGTAGTGGAATGGGAAAAGATATTACGTAGAGGAGTGGAAAATGATATAATTCGTCGGTCTTTCCTCCTAAGTCGTACCGAATAATAAAAATAAAATAATAAAGATTAAAAATTAAAAATTAAAAAGACGACATTTTGAAACATTTGTGATTTACGTCGATTGTCTGCTAGTTTACAGTACACTCTCTTCTAGGTTGAGCCAGTTGGCAATATATTGCGTCAAAACATATTTTCCAACATACGCTTCTACGCTGATGAAACTATAGCGTCGCGTTGCTTAACTATAATCGCGTCGATGCAAATGACGAGAAAGGTTTTTATTTTGGTGTAGAAATTCCTGTCAGAACTAAATGGAAATTTAAAAACGTAAAGGTTTCCATATTTTCTAAATTTGATCTCGTCAAAAGCTGCAGTAAAGCAGGGTATATTCCTAGAGAACGATTTTTGGACCCCCCCCCCCCCCCCCCCCCCTCCTATCAATTTTGTACATGGGTCTGACAGGAAGTGTCTTAACTTGACCTAACCTGTGGCCGCAGCGCTCGGCCCAGAAAGTGTCTTAACTAACCTAACATGTGGCCGCAGCGCTCGGCCCCTTAGCCCATCTTAGCCGCAGCGCTCGGCCCAGAAAGTATCTTAACCTAACCTAACCCTAAATAACAAAAAAATAAATAATAATAAATTTGCTGAAAAAGAAATGGTCATGTACAAAATTGATAGGAGGGGGGGGAGGGGGGGCTGGGGGGGTCCAAAAATCGTTCTCTAGGACAGACCCTAAAGCAGTACAGCAGTACAGTGAGTTTTTACGAAGTCACAAAAATCACAAATCAATTTATTAGATTATAGTGAACTTTATTTTAGCTTGATCCAGTGTTAAAACACAGTTTTTTGGTACCTAGTTTAAAAAAGAATGTCTACTGGTATGAAATAAACGGTATATTCCTAGAGAACGATTTTTGGACCCCCCCCCCATCTCCTATCAATTTTGTACATGGGTCTGACAGGCAGTTTCTTATCTCAACCTAACCTGTGGCCGCAGCGCTCGGCCCCCTAGCCTGTCTTAGCCGCAGCGCTCGGCCCAGAAAGTGTCTTAACCTAACCTAACCCTAAATAACAAAAAAATAATAAAAAATTTGCTGAAAAATAAATGGTCATGTACAAAATTGATAGGAGGGGGGCCTGGGGGGGGGGGGGGTACAAAAATCGTTCACTAGGACAGACCCAAAAAAACATGTGAAAGTTTTCCAGTTATTTATTTTTAGAGATTAAAAAGTGAAATTTTAAAAGGGTCAGTCTCAGAGAAGACTTTTTGGACCCTGGGTCTCTTCCTTCCTTGCAAATTTTTTACACAACTTCGATTTTTGTTACGTATTTTAAAATTAGTGATATTCATTTGTAATTTCTTCATGTTTGGTTATGAATTAAGGCAATTGCCGGGCCGAGCGTTGCGACCAGGGCAGACTAGGGCCCCTCCTATCAACTTTGTAAATGACCAATATTTTTCAACCAAATGATAAATATTTATTTTGTATTATTTCAGGGTTAGGTTATGACAGTTTCTTTGCCGAGCGCTGCGGCTATGACAGGCCAGGGGGCCGAGTGCCGCGGCTATGACAGGCTAGATGGCCGGGTGCTGCGTTTAGGCTTTTAGCAACGACATTAAGAATTTCTATTTTTCAGATTAATTCTTACCTCTGACCAGCCTTCAGGTTATAGTTGAAGGATGGGTCCTCTGGACCGAGGTTTGTATATTGTAGAGGCGGAGATATCCGTCCTCCTAACCTCTATGAGAAGAGGAAACCTCTGGAGTTCGAACACTAACCAGGACGCAAACACGGAGAACTTGATCAAAGAGTTCTCCGCTCTCAAGAAGTCCCTCGGCACTGTCAACAGCTTCTCTGAGCTGGACACCGTTGAGTTCCTGATGCCTTTCCTTGACGTGATCAGGTCCGAGGATGTTACCGGTCATGTGACCGGGCTGGCTCTAACGGCGGTCAATAAATTCCTGGCTTATGATATGATTGGTAAGCTTTAAATTTTGGCTAGACATTTAAAGTTTTTTCTTTCTTTTTGAATCTGAACAATTCTGTAACTTTTAGTTGCTTATTTTGTGAACCCCAAATGTAAAGCTCAAATACAAATAACTTTTCTGGGGGTTCCACTTGATATGATTTGAACTAAATAAATCTTTAAGTGTATCGTTGTGCATGCAGTTTTATTCGTTGTGTTACTTTCTCTTTTTTTTGATGCTACGGTTTTTTTATGATGTAACTTTTTTGGTTTTAGATGCTGACAAACCCAATGTGAGTAGTGCAGTCGAAAATTTGGCCGATGCAGTCACACACGCAAGGTTTAGTAGTTAGTTTAATTTATTTATTTTTTTATCATTAAGATCAGATTTTGATCTTTATATATTTGTTCTTTAACATCGGATATTAGTTTAATACTTTTTATCACAACGTGTTACCTGTTAGGTAAAGTAAATGTAAAAATTAAGCAAAATATTCCGAGTTGAAGTCTCATTTTTCAATATACTAAGAAATATGTCCTTTTGGTCAAAACACTAAAACAATTTTAATTTTGTCTTTTAATAGCCAACGGCATATTGAGTTAAAAGTAAGTATGTTAGTCCAAAGATCTCTATTTAATGGATCAGTGTTGTATATATTGCTCAAACGAAATAACAATATTAATACCAATCTGCAACTCTACTTCATCCTAGTTCGGGCGAAGGTTAATTAATAATAGGGCCCTGTTGTAAATCGATCATGTTACTTTAACTTACGTTCACAATTATTTTGATGTACAGGAAAGTCCTTTATATAGGATCGTAAACCATTGTGAATCGGGCGAACTTTATCTAGAACTATTTTCTATAGAAATCTATCAGATTTGGTTTACAACCTTGTGCTTTAGATGAACAGATAATGATATTAAATGTTAAGGTTTGTTGGAAGTGACCCTGGGTCTGACGAGGTCATCCTTCTCAAGATTCTTGACGTCCTCAAGATCTTAATTCTCAGCAAGGTCGGCCTCCTCCTCACTAACGAGAGTATCTGTGAGATCATGCAGTCCACACTAAGGTACATGAAAGCAAATACAGCACATCCTATTATATAAAGCTGTGATGTATTTACGTATATATACTATATATGTCTCAAGCATGCTCAATCTGCATCCTCGAAATATCGTCCTCCATTGGAGTCCTTAAAGTGCGTCCTTTGAGTTTTCACTATTGAGACTGCCTCATTAATGCTCCAAAAAAAGTGGAAGTTTTGTTTCCGAAATCAATAATATTGAAAACTGTTACCAGTTTAGAGGGACACCTGGACATATTGAATTTTCAATTTCTTATACAACATAATCATTTTAAAACAGTACATAAGATTCAAAACTTTCTGCCCTGTCAACCCGAATCTTAAAGACACAAAATCAACCACAATAATCAGAAAATTTAAATAATGTCTATAAATGTTAATAAATAACTTAAGCAAAATCCAGGGCTGTTTATTTTTATGTATGAAAAATATGAGCTTTCATTTGGTTTGGGAAAAAAAAAGAAGAAAAGGAAGAAGGGGAAATGGAAGTGGAAAGAGAAAAGGAATAAGTGAAAGAGAAAAGGGACAAAAGAGAAGGGACAAGCGGGAAAGGGGGAAGAGATAATTTGCATCTTAACAAAAAAGACCAAAATTTAACAAAAAACGGTATCAGAAATGTTTTCAAAAAATCTTGGGGGATCTTAAAGTTAACCTTTTTAGGGCACCAAGACGTTCTATTATCCCATTAAAGTCTAAAATTTTCTATGATTTTAAAGAGGGGGGGGGGGCAAAATACGAGTCTCAGAACTAATATACACCCCTGGCAAAATGTTTGTGAATGGATTATTTTGGCAGCAGTTACTAAATTGTATTTTTTTTCAGGATTTGCTTTGAGCCAAGACTGAGTGAATTATTGCGGAAAACTGCACAGGTATAGACTATACAATATATATGGAAATTGGGAAATATGTTCATTTTTCAAGTTAAGAATTGTTAACACGAATTTCATAGCTCTATCATTCCTGTGGTATAAGTTTTCACTTCGTTTTCGCCGGGAAACTTTAATTTTTGTTTGCATATTGTCCTTCGTGAAAACTTAAAATCTAAAAAGGACTTTTTTGTTGTCAAATTAAATTTTCACTTCAAATCTCCTTTAGAATCAAACTTTAACTTTTCAAATCTTATAAATTGTCCAATGTCAATCGAGAAATAAATTGCCTGTAATTGAAGAATTTTTTATCAACTAAAAGATTTAATGTTTAAAAGAACTAAATAAACGACTATTTTTTGCCCTAAGACCAATGGGTTAATATTAATAATATATATATTTAGAATGTTACACTAAACTTCAATGTATTATAGAACTGTTTGATGGATATGGTTCAGCTACTTTATACTAGACTCCCAACCTTCACAGAGAATCAGAAACCTCTTCTCAAGAAACTAAAAATGAGATCTTTAGCGGGAGATAAGACAAAAAGAAAGTCCAAGGTATTTATTTTAACTTTTATAAATATACATTATACAGTAACTTTTTTAGAAATCAGCCAACTGCCCACCAGAGGTCACTGCGTTTTTACTTAAAAAAATATTATAATAAAAAAATTTCAAAACTTTTTCCATAGGGTTATGCATGGACGATTTAATATCGGAGAAATCGCCGTAAGGCCTAAAAAAAAAATTTTTTGAAAAGTAAATATGATGCATCATTTTCTTAGAAATTTCATGCTGAATTCAGATTCCAAAACCATTTTTAAATATATTAAAATTTAAAGAAGTTACGGCCAAATGACGGCACTAAATTCCGGTTTTTTAACTTGTTAATGTTTTTGATGAGTTTTTTATCTCTAACTCACTCAATTTTCCTTTTTGTTAAAACGCTTTTCAGATTTGAATAAATTTTAGCAAAAAATGTATGTTATTATTGTTGAATTTGGGAAAATTCAAAGGTTTAAAAATTATTTCTGAAAAATCTTAAAAATATTCACTCTTCCGACATCATTGACTGTTGAATCGAAAATGTTTCCGCAGATTTACCATTATTTGAACTTCCAGAAATGGAAATATGTAACTTTTCATATTCAGCTCTTCTTAACATCTTGACCGACAATACAAATATATAACATATATAAAAGTAAAGATATATACATTATATAATAATACAGCAGAAAATGGTCCGAGGTCGGAACTTTGGTATGGAGTATAGTTAATCTTAAACGCTTGATCTCGATATCCTATGAGGGCGCTTTTAAATTTGAGGTTTAATTCTTGATCCTTCAATGAAAATTATCCCTCGATATGGAAGAGGAATTGAATTAATCTTTAGGTTTGCAAAAGATCGATGCATGATCACAAAGATAAGATTCTAACCAAATTTAATTTTAATTATGGCAAACGTAATTATGGAAAGTGTAACCATTTTGGCAAGTGTAACTTATGGCAAGTTTAATTTATGGCAAGTGTTACTTATGGCAAATGCATTATGGCAAAAGTATTATGGCAAATGAAACTGAGCCCAAAAAAAGTTATGACTTTAGAGATAAATTATTTTATAAAGGTTCGTGTGAAGAAAGCCGTCTCTCCTAGCTCTAGTTCTGGATTGAACAAGTCTCCGTCTTTATCAAGTTTAAATAGTTCAACAACTGGACTTTTACAAAGGTAATTAAAAAGACTTATCTCTGGTAAGCAAACTATTAAAATCTCAAGGGAATCTTGGTGATTAATTGACGAACAACTGACCTGTTTTGATCTTTTTTTTATGAGCAAACTTTATATGTTTTTTTTATAACAACCTCTTATCATCTAAACTGCTGCGTTCCATTTAGTTTTTAATATTTCAGTGAAGAAGTAACTAGTCCAACCACACCCACTTCTCCTAGCGGCAGCTACTTTGCAGGGGGCGGAGCAGTGCTCGCCAGATCTCCAGTTGGAAGTGTGGCGGATCTCTCCGGTAGGTGGAGTCGAGGAAAACAGATTTTTAAGAAATAAAATAATGCAATGAGATGGTTTTGAAATATTAATTAACCTGCTTTGGATCCATCTCAGTTTGATGCTGAATCGGATTAAGGTCGTTAATATTTCTTCAAGATTTACTGATATTTTGAACAAATGAAAAATGTTTTATTTTTTTCTCGCTCTTTTTTGACGAAACTCAATGAACCATTCAGAGATTATGAATATTTTGATAATTCCTCATCAGTTTACAGATGAGATTTGTGTTGTGAGAGCAAAAAGTTAATTTTTAGCAGATTATTGTTTGTTATGGTTGGATCCGGATCCGTGGATCCACAAATATTTGCGGATTAGAATCCAGGAAGCCAAAATGTTGTGGATCCATCGATTCCGGATCCTAAGCACTGAAACTAACCAACTCTTTGTTTTAGTTGTTTCTGACACTGAGGCCCTGACAAGTGATACTGAACTGAGCTTGGATCCAACAATCAATGGAATTGTCAAGATAAATCCGGAACAATCCTCTCAGGCTGGAACTGAACCGACCGGACCGGAGTCTGTGGAGATACACGTGACCTCTCCGGAGGGAACTGTCCGTCCTCCGGGAGGTCCGGTTGAGTCTGACTCAGGGTACCTCGCAAAGGTGGATGAGGATGGTTCAACTCCTGACACTGAGCAAGTTGAAGCTCGACAGTTTACCAATGAAGCAGGAACAGGTTTATCCGAGATTTAAGAAAAAATTCTGAATTTTTTTCCAATTAAAAAAACTATCACCACTTTCAAAACAATTGACCTCTCCTCCCCCTATCCTCCCAAAAATAATGTTAATAAATGAATCATTTTTATAAACCTTGTTCTGCCAGGAGTAACCTTTACGAGTACAGTAGATACAGTGGATTCAAACGGGGCTCTCATTCCCTACGGTCTACCCGCTGTATACGAACTTCTCAGGTCTGATTTTGTAGAATTCATTCCATGGGATTAATTTTTCAATGATTTTTTTGGTCGCGTGGTAAAATATTTTTTATTAATAATTTTACTGAGAAATTGGCACTAATTTTTACCAATTCTGCTTTAGCTGTGGTTTCCAAATATTAGACAAAAGTTAATTTGCGAAAGGCTCGGTAAAATTTTCTTATCTCATATTAAGTTTTTTATAGTCTCCGGAGAACGGTTGGGAATGATCTACTACAGAAAGTCAATTGAAGGTTTTTGCAACTTTTTGTTCCACATATAGAATAAAAAGCCTTCAAACTTGCAAAATTGTTCAACATTTTTGGGATTCATTTTTTTTAAAAGTGGATAAGAAGTGGTGAAATATTATTTTTTAAATAAAACATACCTGTTTTTTGTTTGTTTTTTTGGAGGGAGAGAGGCTTATCAAACTAGGTTTTTTTTGATGCAAATTTGAAGTTTCATAATATGAATACATTTTTTTAAGGTTTCTGTCGTCGTTGATTAACATCAACGATCCTCAGAACACCGAGCAGCAGATACAGATAGGACTCAGCTTGGTTATCTGTGCACTTGAGGTGGGTCAAACTTTTTTCTATTTTTTAAAGTGTTATGTTAGTTTTCTTCTATCTCTCTTCTTTATTTACTTTCACTTGAATTATACTTAATATTTTTTTCGACAGGGGGAATTGAATGATGTTAATAGTTTTAAAAGCATCAAATTCTCCTCCCCAGGTCTTTTTTATTTATTTTTTTTTACATCGAAAATATTGTGCAATGTGCAGAAGGCCGTGTTTGTTCAAACTAGTTTGACTAGGACCCTCGCTTTTTAAGCCAAGCTTTGAAATGTTTTCTTTGTCTAAGGTTGGAGTGGAAAGCATGGAGAAGTTTCCAAGTTTAATGAGCCTGGTTAAAGACGACCTCTGTAGGTAGGATAAAACAAATTAATTATAAATTTATTTTTATAAATCTATGGAATTTCTTTCTAAAACCGGTTAAAACCGGTTTCTTGTGTATGTACATTGTACAGTATATACTGTCCTAGGAATTTGATTGTACTGCTGGCAAGTGAAAGGATTGGAATGTTCTCAGCATCTCTAAGGTTAGCACTAGATGTCTCTTCATTGCTTTATCAATATTAGCTTCGAATGGAATCGATCAAATTGTCCATAACCATTACCATAACCAAAGATTAAAGACACAGTCTGGCGGAGTATTATTATTACAATGGAAAACTCTTTCACCCAAAAACTTGTATCTCTAATCTGTTTCGTTGAGTTCTTATAACGCAAAAGAATGGATTCCTCCCTCCTTGAATTTACAATTGTCCTTAATAAATCCTTTTGTATTTATCATGTATTCAACAAGTTCTTCTGTCCTGGTAAACTCTTGTATACGTCCAGCACCTGAAAAAGTTACTCAGAAAGTTCAGCTAATTCAATTGTATGGTGGTCGACGTTTACATCAATATAACAAAGACGACTTTTTTCAAATTACAAGTAATCAAAGAGAAGCTGTTAACAAACAGCTTCTTTTTTCTTATGTTTATCCATTCTGGTGGAAAGCTTAATAGAAATGGAAATTGAAATAGAAAGTAGTATTCATTGTATTGATATAAACGACGACTGTACACGTACATTATGTATCCTATATCCAGGTGCTGCTACCTCGTGTTCTCGAGCTTGCGATCCCACCTCAAGTTACAGCTGGAGCAGTTCCTTGTTAAGCTCTGTGAACTGGTCGGATCAGAGTCATCCAGGGTCTCTTATGAGCACAGAGAACTCGCACTAGGAACTACAACCCGTCTCTGTAAATTATATTATTAGACAAAAAGAAATTCCCTTTTTCAATAATAAATTTTTCTTTGTTTAAAAAATATTAACACTTATGTCAATGCGGAAAATTTTTGCTTGTTAATTTTTTAAATACTACACTGTTTTTTTACATCAAGAGTTACTTTTTTTCTTCGTCTGTAGATACTAGATAGGCTTTCCTTTGAAATATAATTCTTTTCCCTTGTATTTCAGGCATGATTTTAGGCTTTTTTAGGCCGATGAGTTTATTCTTTTTTACAATTTTGAATGATGAGTTGTTGTTTTTAGAACAAATAGTTTTGATGTACAAGATGCCCGGGTTCATTACAGAGGTTTATCTCAACTACGATTGTGGATTGTATACACACAATCTGTTCGAGGATCTTACTAAAGGTAAACAGAGATCAAAACTGTAAACTCCTATTTCAGTGTTTTTTTAAGTCGTTGGTCATAGCCGTTATTTTTTTTTAATCTATTAAATATCCCAATAGACATGTCTTAGCTATTATTAATTGCTGCGTAGTTGAATGATTGATTGATTGATTGATTGATTGATTGATTGATTGATTGATGGTATCTATTGATTTTTTTCTGATAATGTATATTTTCATGTTAGTTGATTGTCTTTATAATGTACTTGAATCCATTAAATGATTTTAACAACGTAATAAGGAATACAAATATAGGTCTGTTTTGAAATGCTTACAATTTGTTTACTGTTTCAGTATTATCTAAGAACGCCTACCCCGTGGCTGGTCTAATGAGTACCCATCACCTCGCCCTGGAGGCTCTTCTTGTAGTTCTAGAGAGTATTGAACGCCAATGCCAGCGGAGGATATCTGACAGGGTGCCTCAACCTCCACTATACCAACAGAATACAGGTTGGTTAAAAAACAAAAGAACAGAATTAAAGTTGTACAAGAAACACAGAAACAAAAATCAATATTGAAATAAAAAAGTTTTTATTGTGAATGTAATGATTCAAAATTTAATTAACAGAGCTAAAAACTTTAGAATTGGATACATTTAATCCTGATCGATGAATCTCAATATCTACTGTGGACACTTTTGATTTCTGCTTAATCCGCTCTTTTTCTCTCTTTTTGGAAATCACTACTTTGTTTCAACCAATGTTCTCTCATTGAGTGCGCGCCAAAAATTTCAAAATTTCTCGAGTTCTGATTAGATGTTCGGGTCTACACAAACGACCCTCTGATTGGTTAAATTTTAAACACTTTTCTGGATTCAAACTGAAGATTAAAATTAAGATTTAAAAAGGCTAAAATATGTTAAAGCATTTAAAGGAATTGTCAAAGCTTAATGCACTATTATTCCAAAGCAGGCTGATTAATATCCCATGAAGAAATGCATATGCCTAACAAATCTTACGAGCTTGATTATCGTGTTTTTCTACGATATGATATATGATAGGAGCGTTTCGAAAACTTCTATTCCAGGATGATAAATTGCTCAATCGTAAAAGAATTGTCAAAGCTTAATACATATTCATTATTCAAAAGTAAATTCACTTTTATACTACGAAAAATGTTTATGCCTAACTCAAATGTTATGTGCATGTTATGAGCTTGACCATGTCGTTCTCTACACTAAACCAAAATAATATGAGCTTTTTGAAACACTCGGGTGTAACGCCCTTGTAAATCGTTCAATCTTTAAATCTGTGCAAGTATGTTAAAATATGTTGAGAATTCTTCCCCCGTTTTCTGATACTAGTTCACAAAGTCTAATTTTAAACAGAACTACTCCTACGATATTATATTATTGATTATTGTATCCTGTGTAAAGTTAAGAATAGAATCTCCACTTAAGCCAATAATTGAGCTATATCCTAACCTTAGAGATATTATGCAAAGATCTTTAATCTTTTTGCAGATTCATTTAGCCAAACATCTGTAAATTGTTATGGTAATTGTTAAGTTATACTGTCATATGGTGTTCATTCCATCAGCAAATTGATCTGTCGAATTTACTTTAAAAATGTTGTACTATATTATACATTAAGGATTTCGATCTCATAACTCCTATACCTTAGTAAAACGTTACTTTATCTGAACTAAACAACTTTAATCTAATGCACTTAATTGTGATCATTATTGGTAATTTTTGTCTCGCATTAGACCCAATAAAGATTTTAATAATAATAAAATTAAAAAAAGATAAGATAAAACATTGATCTCGATATTAACAATTCTAAAGTTTTCAGCTCAAGGTATTTTAAAAATCCTCAACTGAAAACAGTTCAAAAATAATTTTTTCTTCAATTTTTGTTGATTAATTAATTAATAAATAATGATAAATCTTTGTAAAATATCTCTTGATGCCTTTATCTTACTCTGAGCATATATTTAACATAACTTATTCAGTACAATTTGTAAAGATGACTTTTAAGTTTTAACTGAACAATAATTTAGGAATTATTCAAAATGCAGTGAATTGCATAAAATTATGTTTTTAGTGCATAGTAAAATAAGAGCCTGAAATAAAGATAGGCTGGGGCTTTTAAAAAAAAAATTTAATAATTAAATAATACTAACCATATCAAGATTTTTTTCTCTGACCTTGTGAATTTTCCATTAAACATAATAGATATGCTAGACATTTTTCAATTATGTTTTGCTTGTCAACTCAAGCTAAATTTTCCAGAAAAATTATTTCCTCCCTCTTAAATTTTTTTTTGGCCTTAATGTGTGTTATGTTTTTTAGGGTTTTTTCGCTGAATTGTGGAAAATAAATGATTTTTAGAGAAAGTAAAAGATGAAAAATCTTGCCTTCTCATGTCAAAAAATGTGGGATAGAATTATAAAAAATATATATTCCTGACTATGAATGGAAAATGTATATTTGCCTAGGATTGGACAGCTCTAGATCAGATTCATTGACAAAGGTTGCCGGTACCATCTCAATGATGAACAAGAGCTCAGGTTTCTACATTTTTAATTTATCAAGATGTACTACTTTCTTTTTTGTCAAACGGTCTTTATACCAAACTCAAACCGACATTTTATCGATTGATTTGATTCTCCTTCTTAAAATGTTTTCTAACTTCATTAAAAATGTTTCGACGCTTTTCTCTCATCTTATTTTCTATCTTAAAAGTAAATCTAAAATGTATATTGAAAATTGATAAACTTGAAATAATGTTCTAGGTCACATTTTTGCAACTAACTCGAAATCGCCAACACCGATTGACAGCTCTCCAGTGAAGGTATTTTCAAACTTACAATTATTAATAAATTAAAAAAAAGCTTGTTTCTTGCTTCAAGATGGATTATGTTTGAATCTTTTTGGGGTTTTGACATAAATATGACCATAGTTCTTTAAATTGAATTATTTGCCCGAGGGGGGGGGGGGGTTACAAAATTAGAAGTTTCCCCCTTACTCTCTGGGAACATTTAATGAGCCGCCCATGCATCGCATATTAATGATCATGGGTTTACAAAATCAATATTTAAGATGGCGTCCCTAGTTCCAACACATGAGAACCTGATGGCGATCAAGCATAAGAAGAAGCTTCTCTCCACCGGTACAGAGCAGTTCAACATGAAGCCCAGCAAGGGTATTGAATATCTCCAAGAGAACCGTCTCCTCTCTAAACCAACCGATCCTATGGAGGTCGGACGCTTTCTCCGGGAGAACCCGCACCTCTGCAAGAATATGATTGGAGAGTATATCTCCAACAAGAAGAACTTAGATGTTCTTAAAGCGTTCGTCAAATCCTTTGATTTCCGTGGATTAAGAATTGACGAGGCGCTCCGGCAGTTTCTCCAGTCCTTCAGACTACCTGGAGAAGCTCCACTTATTTCTATGATAATGGAGATCTTTGGAGAGCATTGGCATATTAGGTATAGCTGCAAAAATGATCCGATCTCTTTTCCATCTTTTTATCGACCCTATCTTTTTTGAAACCGATCATATCTTTGTTCATGAAGCAATCCTGCCTCTAGTCTTTTTGTCTCTTTTTTTGAAACTGTCAAAAGATCCCCTTTTACGAAACAATCCTAGTAAATGCTTTGAAACGACCCTTTCTCTTTTTAAAACTGTTCAGTCTCATTTTAAAATCGGCCCTGTCTTCGGAAGAAAATCCTATTTTGTTTTAAAAAACGACCCTTTCTGTCTAAAAAATTATTTCAGCTTTTTATAATTTAATAATTTTATATGTAAAAATTGGATAATGAATGATGATTTGTTCAGTAACGACGAATGTTTGGTTGATGCTGATGCCCCGTATACCCTGGCCTACGCAGTTATTATGCTCAACACAGATCAACATAATCCTAACGCTAGCAAACAAAATGTTCCAATGACCAATGATCAGGTAAGAATTACTTATTATGCTCAACACAGATCAACATAATCCTAACGCCAGCAAACAAAATGTTCCAATGACAAATGATCAGGTAGGAATTCTTATTATGCTCAACACAGATCAACATAATCCTAACGCCAGCAAACAAAATGTTCCAATGACAAATGATCAGGTAGGAATAACGTGTTGATACTTGAGAGGCAATTCAGAATGTTGAGAACCTCTTGACGTCGTCTTCTTTGGATTGTTTAATTAAATCTTATGAAGTTTTAAGCTGTATTGGATTTTTAAATGTTGATTAAAACTGGGTAGCATTCCATGCATATAACACTATGGGAGACAAAAATTCTTTAATTGTTTACTGCTGAAAAATCAGAAAAGGAAAAATTTCAGAATTCAGAAAATAGAAAATTGACAAAATACTGTTATTTATACAAAAAATGGATAAGTTACAGAATACAGAAAACAGGCAACAAGTTAAAGAATACTGGAAATGGACAATATACACTGTACAGAATACAGGAAATGGACAAACTCCAAAGTACAGGAAATGGACAAATTACAAAACGCAGGAAATGGATAAATTCCAAAATACAGGAAATAGACAAATTCCAAAACAAATGAAATGGACAATGTTCAGAATACAGTGAATTGAATTTATTTGATTTGATTTGATTTGATTTGATTTGATTTGATTTAATTCAATTATTTTTGATTCTAGTTGATTCTATTTTATTTGAGAAATAAAAGCTTGAATTTTCAATATCAGGCTGCAACTCTTAACTAGAATTCAATTTTTAAAAATACTAGAAATAGAGGACCTTTTACTAGAGTGCATCATTGAATAGCATTAGGATTTATTATTTATTGCCTACATAATGTTTATTGTTTTTGACAAGCTTCAGGGCAACTCGGGGATTTTTTATTGGGGTTTGTCGGATTTTCAATAAAAATGTATCGATGATTTTTCCAAATATTGAATAAATTTTTTTTTAAAAATACACAGATGCATAACAGATTCATAAATAAAATAAAAAGAAATCATATCGTATTAAGTATAGAAAATAGATAAAAATACATAGAAATATCAAAGTAATTAAAACTCTATTTCTGTGTCTGCATTTACTGAGTAGGTCAGACCTTCTTGTTTGAGGGACATTTATGATCAGAAATCAAAATTTGGGTTTTCCCGACACTGCACAGTTGATGATTTGTTTAGTTTGTGAAGAATCTGCGTGGAACGAATGGTGGTGGAGATCACGATCCTGAGATGTTATCTGAGATCTACCAGGCGATCAAGGAGGATGAGATCGTTATGCCAGCAGAACAGAAAGGATTAGGTAATTCAAAGAGTACATTTTGAAAAATCCATCATTATCAAAAATCATTAAATTTTATGTTATGTGGGAAAAGAAGTATCTAAAAGAGGTTTTAACTTCCGTAGTATAAGAACATGGACTTTTTTGGTGAAGTTCTTTTGACCAGTGCAGTGCAGCTGTTTATGACTTCAATGGACCTACTCATGATATAAAAGTTTGAGATGTAAAAACCATTAGGTTGTAAAAATATAGAGACTAGAAAATTTGATTTTGAGACGAGTGTACATTTTCAGTTCCTTTCTGCGATTTTAATAACTATTTAAATGTGTTTTAAACCCGAGTATTGCATCGACAATCGGCAGGAATTTTTCAGAAGGGATTTTCTGTTCAAGCTTAAAACATGTCTTTGAAGTATATTATATTTATTTCTAAAAAAGGATATTTGATTAAATTAAAGTTGTGTAAATTCCTGAAGAAAGGTTGAATTTCCTCCAGTCGCGAGTCTAGAAGTATTCAACTTGAGAAAGAAATGAAAAGAAACTGGTTTGAATTGAATCTGTAATGTGAAATGTAAAATTTAATTCGATAAGAAGAGAACTGAGATGGCTGACTGGAAGATGTTCAGTAAATGGGGGGGTGCCCGACGTAAAAAATCTTTTCACGTAACGGTTATTGTACATTCATTGTACAGTGTACACAGATACTATACAATTACACAAATTAACTGCACAGCTCAGTCAAGTACTCGTGTGTAATTATAAAATAAAATCGAATTTAAATCAGGCTTGATGAGTGCAATTCCGATTTCCGAGTCATGATACCAAAGATCAAACACCAGCCCCCTTGTGTCTGATGCCATTGATTAAACACCAGCCCCCCTGTGTCGGAAGGGGGGGGGGGGGTGAACCAATGATACTTAAGAAAGAAAAAGTTCAGAAAAAATTCAAGAAGGTTTAGGATGAACAGTTTCAAACTATGACCAACTTTCTTTAAAGAGGATTTGGTAAAGACAGTTTTTCCACGGATCCCAAAACTGAAATAATGTCATTGATTGAACATAAATAAAAATAATGACAATCGATTTCAATAGTTTCACAGTAACTCTTCTATTTTGCAAACCCTTCCTTTGGGTGAGTTTGCGTATGTATGGAAAAGGTTTCAGAGCTGGTGTTCCATTTATTTTTATTTTACTACTTGTAAAAACATAAATTGGTTTTCTAGTCGTGCCTAGAATTAAATATGTAAGCTGCATCCTATCCACATAACGGTCAATTAAGTTTTTAAAGAGTCTCAGAAAATAATTGAAAATCTTACTAGTTTGTTTAAAGAAAACTGGAGAGGTTTGAAGTAAAAACGAATTGTATTCATGGTTACATTTGCTATAGATAGAGTAGGTATATATTTAATATACTTGGCTTGTCTTTTTTTCTGTTGGTTTGTCAGTATCTAATAAACATCGAAACTGTAGTTAAGATTAAGCCGAATTTTGTGTGTGCTAACCGCTAACTTGCATGACCTCAGGGAAGGTGTAAAGCCGATCAGAGATGACAACTTATGAGACTTAATATAATAATAATTCTTTTTTATTATGAAAATCGTCATATTTATTCAAGAAAATTTGCGAAATTTGTTATTGTAATCATTCAACATGCAAAAAAGTTACGATTATTACCAGAAAGATGGCTGCGAGTCGCCCGTAACCTAAATAATTATAAATATATGTATATTAGCCATCAATATAAAAGCACTCGAAATATAGAATGTTTTCTCTAAGAATGCGAGGGAAAGGGTTTAAAGCAGTAAAAGAATAAAATGTGTGAGGAATCTTGAGTTTCTAGTTTACATTAGTAAAATTTATATACCTCCCTTCCTCATAAATTACACTGGAAAATTTAGAATTTATTTATTTTAGTTAAAGAGAACTATTTGTGGAAACTACTGTTACGACGAGGTAATTTTACTTTTTACAATTTTAAATATTTATTTATTTGTCTTACCATATTTTTTATCCTTTATCAATAAAATAAATATTTTTTTTTACTTTGAGCTCGGTTTTGTTTGATAAAATAAAAACTAGGATAACAAAGGATATAGAGGGGGGGGGGGGTATTGTTCGTTTTCTGTTTTAAAGGGACTGTCCACGTCTTTTCATGTGACCCTACCCCCCTCGTACGCCACTGCTTAATTTCCTTGATTTTGTATGCAACTTTGATGATGAAGTTATTTTTGCTCTTGGCGAGAGCGGCTGTAGAATGTAGAATGTAGATCAATGTTTACGTTTTTACATCGTTTTTACACTTTTGTTGTGCATTCATCTCTTCATATTTTTCTATCTTTCTTATTCGCTTAATTTTGCTATGTTTGCTTGTTTGCTAATTTATTTATACCATTACGAAAGTTTGGTTTTTGGAACGGGGATGGGGAGTCCCTAGATGTCCCACAAAAAATTTGGGCCCGATCGGTTCAGCCGTTTTGACGTTTATTGGATACAGACAGACAGACAGACAGACAAACAGACAGACAAGCCAAATTTATATATAGAAGATGTGTGTTAGCCAAACGGCTCGACCAAAATGGCTAAACATTTTTATTGGGAACCCATTGGTTATCCTGGGGGACAGGCTAAAAAATCGAAATTTATTTTTTCAAAATTTTATTTTATAAAAAATTCCACAGGCAACGCCGGACACTCTAGCTAGTAGTTAGTACTATCTTTATTCAAGAGAAAAGATAAAGTTGGTTGCAGCAGTATCAATATTTATCAATATTTATATATAATATATATATGCCTTTAAAGACATTTTTACTTCCTTTGAGAGTTGAATACGCAATATTAAATTAACACGTTTTTATATATTGTTCCTGCTCAAGGGTCTTCTGTACTACACAGAGCTAAAAAAAATGAGTATTTACCAACAACTCAAATTTTCTAATCCCTATATATTTGCAACCTGAGAGTGTAAACCTTTTATATTTTATACATAGATTTTTGATCTAAAAGAATAATCGTGGTTTAAAATATCCAAGGTCTACAACATCAGGATGCATAGATAAAGGGATTAGAAAATCAGAGTTTGTGGCATTGACTTAATTCGTTTGTTTCCAGTCTCATGAACCTGAAGTTCTACGACGTGCTCTGGATGGATTCTCTAAGTGCGCGATGGTTGCTGCGCACTACGCAATGTCTGATGTGTTGGACAACCTGGTGATCTCCTTGACCAAGTTCACGACCCTCCTCAGCACCAACGAGACTCCTGAGAACTTCAAGATTATCTACGGAGGGAACAACAAGGCGCTTCTTGCCACACGGGCAGTTTTTAGTCTCACGCATAAGGTATTCTTTTTATTAATATTCTTCTTTTAACATTTTTTCTTGATGCGTTTCTTCGTTTTTCACAAAATTAGTTTAAAGACATAGATTAAGAAAGAAAATTAGAACAAAGTAGGCTTTTTCACCAGAAATACATATGCTGAAAAAAAGAATCTTTTTTTAATATTCTGTTTTTAGTTTAGTATTTCCACGTCGGTATTCAGATAATCCGCAATGATTGAAGGATTATATGAAATTGAATATTAAACCATATTTAAGCTTTAATTTAGGTTTTTATGATGTTGATTAAATCTATTTTTAAAACTCATATCTATTACTTTTGTTTGGATAGACTGAAGATTTAACCCTATAAGCGTGCTTATATCTTTTAAGAAACATTACAAATAGGATTTAGTTTAAGTTTACTCTGATTCTTGAATAGTTCTACAGTTCTTTCCTATATCTGTGTAGGTATCCATCAAACTGTCTATGTATCCAATCTGTACTGTCTAGTGTAGTTCTTATGATTATCTGTTAGTTTAGTTGTTATGACTATCTGTTAGTGTAGTTGTTATGATTATCTGTTAGTGTAGTTGTTATGACTATCTGTTAGTGTAGTTGTTATGACTATCTGTCTAATTTTCGTAAATCTATCTAAATGATTCCAATCTGTACTGTCTAGTGTAGTTGTTATGACTACCTGTTAGTTTAGTTGTTATGACTATCTGTTAGTGCAGTAGTTGTTATGACTATCTGTCTAATATTCGTAAAATGACTATCTGTCTAATACTCGTAAATCTATCTAAATGATTCCAATCTGTACTGTAGAGTGAAGTTCTTAATGCTATCTGTCTAATATAGTTAATCTTTATGTCTTTTACTTGCACTGCCTTGTGTTGTTCTTATGTCCATCTGTATATTATCCGTTAATCTATTTAAATTCTAAATAATTCCAATCTGTACTGTCGAGTGTAGTTCTTATGTCTATCTGTCTAATATACTTAAATCTATCTTTATGTCTATCTGTCTATCCGTTAATCTATCATGAATTTGTACTTGTATGCTTGAATATCGCAGAACATAGAATATTAAGGAACTTTTCGGTAACATGCGTTTCTTTTGAATTTGGAGTAAATTTATTTCTTCAAAGGGACTGTACACGTAATATCAGATGACCCTCCATTTAAAAGAAAATGAATGGCATGTCCGATTCTTAACGGTAACCTTCAAACCGTTGATATCTGATCATGAATGTATAATATCTCTTAGTTTATATAGCTAACCTTTTTAGTTTTTAATTTTGGGTTCTTTGTAAGTATAAAATTGACTTGCTGCTACATGCTGCAGAGAAAGATGAAAACAAAAAATATTAAGACCCAATCTTAAACAAAGTTATAGAAATTTGAATATATTTAATAACCTGTTAGTTTGTATGAAAAGTATGCTTTATAGAAAAGTTTGGCGGGTTTTTGTTAATGGAAAACTTGGATTAGGCTTATGAGCTACCAACTTCTATATTAATTTATGTAGAACATGTGGTAAACAGTGTGTCCGTAAAATATATTTAATGTAGTTTATTTTATCTAAAGATGTATAATGGATTATCTCCAAGCTTTAATGCCAAAATACGCACATAATACTCGAAAAACTTAGGTTTATCAGCATGCGCATTTTTATATTAGCCTTATATTTTTTTTGAATGATTTTTTTCTAATTAGTCCCAAAAAGCGCAATTTTAAGCTATAAACGATTTAATGTGATGATTGGACACCCTGTACTTGATGATAAAATATTCGTATAGTTTTATTGAGATTGTTTCTTTGATTCAAGATTTTTATTCATTTCGAATATTAATATTTTTGAAATCCCTTCCGTCTGGCGCAGGGGGGGGAGTGCAGAAGTCCTCAATGAGTAATCACCGCCACCCATATGGGTATTGCGGCATTCACGCTCCTCAATTTGAAATGAGACAAAAAAGCGTAACATTAAATCGTTTATTTCTTGATAACTCTGTAAATGTCCCTATGGTGTACAATATTCTTAGCTTTCTTTACTGCTCCTCTGTTTCAAAAATAAATCTATAAATTTGCCACACTAGGCAATTAGCAATGAAGCGCTAGAAATAATTAGTGAATACAGATGCCATGAAACCCCGATATATGTCGAAAATTATGTTAAAGATGCATTAAATTAAAATCTTATAAAACAAGATTTTACGGTGATTACTAATTGAGGTGGTGGAGATTATCAATTGAGGAGCGCGCATGCCGCAAGGCATAAAACACGTTTGGGTGGCGGTGATTACTAATTGAGGACTTCTGCACTCTCCCTCTCTCTGGAGGGCCCTAGAATCCAAGCAATCTTGTCGAATTTAGATGAAATACTGAACTATAAAACTTACATTTCTCTGCATAGTGCACACACTTCAATATATTTTGATTTCTCTTAGAAACAGAAATGGAATTTCTTTAAAAAACAACACACGTACATGAGTACATGAAAGCATTATTATGAGTATATGAGAGCATTATTATAAATGTACATAAATTATCATCAGACGATCGATGTTATTTTATTTATGTTATTTTAATTTTCTTTGTTTCTTTTCGTTGATTTTATGGTTGAAATATTAACCTTTCTCTGAACTTCTAAGAAGTTGAGAGATTCGAAGGATTTCCATGGAAAAAATTTGGGTCATTATTTCACGGGAAACCTGATATGGGGCGAGGGGAGGAGTGCAGAAATCTTCAATTGGTAATCACCGCCACCCAAACATGTTTTGCGGTATGCGCGCTCCTCAATTGGTAATCTCCAACATCTCAATTGGTAATCGGACAAAAAGGGTAACATTAAATCTGTTATTTCTTAGAAATAAAACCATATTGACAACTTTGTTAGGCCCTATTGAGTACAATATTCTTAAAGCTTTTTTATTGCTCCTCAGTTTCGAAAATAAATCTATAAATTTGCCACATGAAGCTCTAGTAAACACTTCATTTTCACATTTTCATTGACGAATTGGATTTAAGATTCGTAATTTTTTTTCTAGCTTTATGTTGCGTACTTCGATTTTTTTTTGAAACTGAGGAGGAGCAATAAAGAAAGCTTTAAGAATATTGTACACTATAGGGCCAGTAACAGAGGTCAATATTGTCTTATTTTTAAGAAATGAACGATTTAATGTTAACTTTTTTATTTCTGATTACCAATTGAGGAGCGCGCATACCGCAAAACACGTTTGGCTGGCGGTGATTAACAATTGAGGACCTCTGCAGTTCTGCACTGCCCCCCCCCCCTGATGGGGCTGACTGCTGACATTGCGGTTTTATGTGCGAATTCTGTGAGTTTTATAAATGGCACACGGCATTCATAATAGTATTCTGAATGTTGTTGTATTGGATATTGTTATTTTATGATTGTTACTTATTTGTATTATTATGAAAGGTTTAACAAGTGACCCTCCATGCAAATACGGTAGTGCCCGATTCAAAACGGTAAACCCTTGAAACCTTTATCTAATTAATATTGTGGAAAATATTGTCGTTTTTCTAAGTTTAAAAGTGTTTAATTCTGAAAATTCCTGTATGTTCATTCATTCATTCATGGAAATGCACCTTGGGAAATCCCAATTTAAAATATTCCATTTTTATAATTATAAAAGTGGATATCTAATTCATTCTTGACCAGACAAAGTTTTAAGGGTACCGTTGTGAATCGGGCGTTGTCTTCTTTGCATGGAGGGCTACTTGAAACTTCGCTTACAGTCCCTTTTATATTATTGTTGAGTTCCTCTAACTATATATAAAATGTTTAGTATGGAGATATACTACGGGAGGGATGGAGGAATCTGGTTGAGTGCCTACTGCAGATGTTTAAGTGTCAACTCCTCCCACCTTCTCTAATGGAATCGGAGGACTATATTGAGTCCTCTGGCAGGTAGGACGAGTAGAACGATTAGGACGAGTAGTACAAGAAGGACGAGTGGTACGAGTAGTACGAGAATGACGAGTAGGACGAGTAAAAGGAGTAAGAGGATCAGGACGAGTAGGACGGGTCGGACGAGTATGAGGAGTAGGACGGGTCGGACGAGTAGAAGGAGTAGGGCGAGTAGGAAGGGTAGGACAAGTAGGACGGGTAGGATAAGTAGGACGGGTAGGACAAGTAGGACGGGTAGAACGAGTATGACGAGTAGGACAAGGCCGTGGAGGTTGGACAAAGAAAAAATCTCAAATATCACTTAAAAGTAAGTTAAAAAACTGAACCAGGCACAAATTCTAATTTTCTAATCCCTATTTCTTTGTAACTTGATATCGCAGATCTTTAATACTAAATTTAAATATTAGTTCTCTCTAAAATCCAAGTCTAGACTTGAAATATTAAATTTTTTTACAAGGAGGTTGTATTGCTGTTGAGATGAACATAGAAATAGAATATTATATTTAAAACTTTAAAAACAATGATCTTCATATTTTGAATATAATTGTTTAACGTGAAAATTTTATAATCTATGTGTAGGGTTTGTTTGTTCCGTGAGGATATTCCTCGTGAGAAGGCTGATAGTGGACTCATCAACTCCTTGGTATCCTTCATCGTAGCATCCAGTGAGGCTCCCAGGACTCTTTCTAGAGAGGTAATTCATGCTATTATTGCACACTCACAGTCAGGCTCCCAGGACTCTTTCGAGAGAGGTAATTCATGCCATCAGTCCACACTCACAGTCAGGCTCCCAGGACTCTTTCTAGAGAGGTAATTCATGCCATCAGTGCACACTCACAGTCAGGCTCCCAGGACTCTTTCTAGAGAGGTAATTTATGCCATCAGTGCACACTCGCAGTCAGGCTCCCAGGACTCTTTCTAGAGAGGTAATTCATGCCATCAGTGCACACTCACAGTCAGGCTCCCAGGATTCTTTCTAGAGAGGTAATTCACGCCATTATTGCACACTCACAGTCAGGCTCCCAGGACTCTTTTTAGAGAGGTAAATCATGCCATCAGTGCACACTCACATTCAGGCTCCCAGGACTCTTTCTAGAGAGGTAATCATCATTCCATACTCACAGTCAGGCTCCCAGGACTCTTTCTAGAGAGGTAATTCATGCCATCATTGCACACTCACAGTCAGGCTCCCAGGTCTCTTTCTAGAGAACTAATTCATGCCATCATTGCACACTCACACTCAAGCTGAAGGAAATCAAGACTTTTTGTTGTTCTCATTCTCAACCCGGGGACGATTATTTTCTAAAACTACACGACTACAAAACTATAAATGAGCTATAAACCCAAATTTGTTTTCGGGGATTTTTTAAATAAATCGAATTTTAGAATTGGAAACGAATTAGGGCTTAAATCCTACTGTTGGAGAATTTTGGTATAATCAAAAATCCTCATTTTTGGCATACTTTTCATATCATATATTTTACCCCAGAAGTTGGTGTTCGCTGAAAAGGGGAAATTAAATTATTTTTAGGGAAGTAAATAAATTTTTAGGTAAAAAGTATGAAAAAAGGATAAAAAGAATGAAAAAAACTTGCCTTTTCATGTTCAATTTTTCCGCAGATATTTAAAAATAATTTTTTAAACTTGTTAAAAAAAGATTTTTTTTTAAGAAATAAATATTTTTTTATTCAGAAATTCAGAAGCTCTTTGTTTGTTTATGCTCTGTTCAAGATTCGAGAACAGTCTCTTTTTAATTAAACTAAAACGTGTGGATATAAGAAAAATCTAAAATAGCTTCTCAATGAATATTTATAAAAGTTTGAGAGGATACAGGAAATTATAAAATGTGTGAGGATAAAATTTTAGATTTATTGGTTTTGAGATTCCAGGTATCAAATAGTTCAGTTCCTATTTGAGAACTTTCATTTCCTTACACAAAGCCTTATATCAGTGCTTAGGATCCATTTTATTTTGATGCTGCTCCGGATCCGGAACCTGGATCCGCCTGAAATAAATGGATCCTGATCCTTATCCAGGTCTTAAACATTTCTTCAATAATTATTTTTTACAAATAGTTTGAACAAAAAAAGATTTGATCAAAAAATTGCTTATTTTTAGCTAAAACTTGATTAGCCGATCAGAGATTAGGATTTTTTAATAATAATCTCTCTTTAGAAAACAGTCAAAATTTGATTTTTGAGATTAAAAAGTATATTTTAGCAAGTTTTGGTTGATATTTGGATCCGGATCCAGGAAGCCTTTTTTGTTCCGAATCCAACGGATCCTAAACAAGCTTCATATAAAATTGGTCTTTAGAATGAAATTTTAGTTTTCTGTCACTATATGTATTTCAGCTTCTTTTACAGAGGCTTTACTTTGATTTTATCTGAATGATGGTTGACTGTTTATTTATTCTTAACAACAACAACAGTAACGTTTATAGAACACATAAACTCAAAGTAAAAAAAGTTTAAATTTAGCTTTTCCGATAATTTAATAGTCCAGTAACATCTATAGAATTCTAAGACGAGGAAAAAATATTTGAAAAAAAAATTCTTTTTTTTTTAGAATTTTTGTGACTCTAGTTTCTTAATTAAGGTGAAAATTCCGGAATATTTAGTTTAAGTATTCCGTTAAGTATAATGTTTTCCGGAGGATTATTTAGAATATGGGAAGGTTGATAAAATTACAGAAAAGATGAAACAGTTTCAGAATATATCGATATATCTAATCGAAGCAGTTAAACAAAATACTTATCGATAAAATTTATAACCCAAGATGGAAGAATAAAAATTCAACAGTATGTAGGGGAAATTTTCATTATTTCCATCTTTTACTGAAATATTCGACAAAAGAAATTTCAAAAATACATATCAAAGGATAAAATCCCATATCCTAGATTGCTTCCATTCTAATTTTCCCATCTCCATTTTTGGACTATTACCATTTTCTTTTATGTTTATTAAGTTTTCTTAACGCTTCTTCTTACATATTCCCAGTAGTAGTATAGTGTTCTGAAAATTTTGCCTAATTTAATCTCATTAAAAATTAATTTAAATTTTCCTGGATCCAAGTATGCTCTGTGTACATTATATACTGTATAATGGGATGCATTACTTAGGAATTACTTAGATACTTTCAGGAAATTTACTTCTAAATATGGAACTTTTTTCTTCAGATTTTACTACATTAGAAATTTTCATGCTGACAATATCAAATATCAGTTTCATGCTGGGAATTATCCTCTTTTTTGCATTTTCTCATTTTTTGGGGGGAAATTTCCTTTTTACAGGAAAATTGTGACCGTCCTTTAAAGAATTGTCTTTAACAATCAAATAATTTGTTCCCACCGTAATCTCTCCGTCATCGTTACTCAGATCAACAGTGCTTAGGATTCAGATCCGTTGGATCCGCATTATTTAACCTCTTATAGCTGGATCCCGATCTGCAATGAAATGTCAGTCCTCAAAAGAAAAGTTCATGAAATGGATCCGGATCTGGATTTATTTTTTTCTCAGGGCTAATCCGGATCCGCATCAAAATGAAAGGGATCCTCAGCCCTGTAGATAAAGATACGTTTTTTGTTTGTTTGTGAACTATTTCCTTTTTTATGTTTAGAACGTTGTCTGAATGACTGTAGCGTTGTTGAATGAGTACTCTGTATTCTCCTAGGTTTCTTTAAATAGGTTTAATACTGTGGAGTTCTCTGTAAATGGTTTGTTGTAAACCTAATAAAGGTTTAATTCAACATTGCATTGGAATCCTAATATAAATTGAATTCTTGGGCCTAGTATTACAAATATAGTGAAAACCAGCAAAACGGGAAAGTTTTTTTTTATGGACAGGGTCTTACATTTTAAAGCAAATAAGCCAAACCTGAAACCAGCTACCGAATTTAATGAATTTTAGCTACATCGCTTAATTACCTACCGCCGGTTCAAATTTGAACCACGCGTTCAAAGTTTAAGATTAAGGAAGGATTTGAACCGGTTTGAAATATTTAAGGTTTACAACATTGAGAAGTTAAGATATAGGGATTAGAAAACCAGAGTTTGTTGCAAAAACTTTGGGACCCTGACCAGTGATTATATAAGATAGTTATAAAAATCCATCCCACTTACAACTGTATTTTTAGGAAGAGGATTGTATAGATATTGCTAAGAAAACAGTATCTGAATGTCACCCGGAGCACTTGTTAACCGAATCAAAGTTCCTTCTTACAGAGTCTTTACAAGGTAAATTCATTGCATCTTATCAACCGAGCTAGATAAAACGAAACTAACGGTTGTTTGACCTAAAACCAGAGATTTTATGGTTAAAAAGGGCAGACAACGTAATATCAACTGACTCTATCAAATATTAATGGAAGTTCTTTAAAAGTGTAAAAATATTCATATTAGATTTTTATTTTCACTTCTACGGAATGTATCATTTACTCTCAGACAAATTTCCATTGATTCTAATTTGTCTGAGAGTAAATGACATTCCTTTTTAAAGAGAGGATTCAATGATAAACACGAGGGCTTGCGGATTTTGCGGATTTTTTTTGCCTTTGTAGATTTTCAAAGTATCTTTCAATGAAAATATCCCGGCGGGATTAAATGCAAATTGTTGCATACCAAAAAACCAGCTTTTTAAAAAGGAATGATGGTTGTTTGTTTGCGTGTGTACAATAGTAATTCAACGTTCTTTATTTTGCAAATAATATGTAAATATAGTATTTTTCGAATATTATAATATATTGTTAAAAATATGTTTTGTAACTTTTACAATATTTGTGTGTTAACAACATACTTTATTTCCCTGTTCATGTATCTTTCCGCATTTGTTCATGAGAAAGGAAATATTTTAATAAATGAATACTGAAACCATTAATCATATCCTAGTGGTAAACTTTAAATACAAATATTGGAAATAGAATTAAATTGTTTAATATTTCACGAAAACCCACTCAACCTAAAAAGAGGAATTTGCGAGGGGTGAAAAAAATACATTTTGATTTAAAAAGTGCTCACCGCAATTGTAACCTATTGGACAATTCAGGTTCTATGATATAAAATGTTTTCCTAAAAAATGTTTTTTGATTTGTAAAGTGAGTAGAAATGGCTCCTGCAATTGATAGAACAAGGTGCGGACTTTTTTATTTAATATATATGTTTTTTATTAAAAAGTGTGTATGTGGGAATAGCATCCCGGAGGTATAAAGAACATATTTCTCTTCAATAATTAATATATTGTATTGTAATGTTAAGAAGAGAAGGTGGGGGGGGGGGGAGGAAGAGGCCCCGTCAAATCTGCTTCCGAGCTATTTTCCACATTTTTTCAGCCACCACAAAAAGTTTTACTTCTTTTCAACCTTAAAACCTCATTCGATATTTAGTCGATCAGGCTAATGTCGAAGATTCTAATAAGTCTTAGCGGATTCAAAACCTACAACATTTGGTATTTAAAAAAAATGCAATTAAGAGCGATCAAGTGGGTATGGTTCGGACCAGAATAGATGGGGCTCGCACAGTCCACACCCCACTCGTAGATATTACGCAGTAGTCTGCAATGTCACAGAAACAATTTTTTTCTTCAATAATTTCCCTTCTGAATTTTTGTGATAATCAATAAAAAAAGTTGTTTCTTTTTTGTATTTACATATGATAAAATAATCATTAATTAATTATACAAAGAATTAACGAGGTTCCTGATATCTGGGGACAGTGTGGACTCTGGGGATGATAATGGATTACTAATTGATTATTAATTTAGAATTACTGAGGTTCCTGATATCTGGGTCTAGTCTGGACTCTGGGGATGATAATTGATAATTAATTATTAATTATATTTAGAATTAATGAGGTTCCTGATATCTGGGTCTAGTCTGGACTCTGGGGATGACAAGGCTGACCACCGTGCTACACTTTTCTACCTGGAGATTATTACACGGATAACTATTGCTAACAAAGACAGGTGGGAAACCTTAAAAAGACTGATCATCAAATTTGGAAAGGGCGATTATATTTGAATTACTAAGTGATGTGTAATATTTATATTTCAATCCAATGTTTATATCTGAGACTTGTAATGTAGATCACAGTTTAGCAACGGTATCAACCAATGTGTATTTTAGCAAAGAAATTCCATACAGCCCTCTGGTAATGTAGGTTTCCAGGTGTAGTATAGCAAGGTGTAAACCACTGCAGAAGATATAACAATGCAAATTTGTTATTTTGCAAATCATGTTTGGTATTGCGGGAGATACTTGCAAGAATTCGACAGACAGAATAATTTTAAATATTTTCCAAGTGCATTCAATTCCTTGAATTTTATAGAAGATAATTGAAATATCTCTTAGAAACACACAAATGTTACGTTTATTTGAAATTTCCTTCTCCTTAGATTTACATCTGCATAAATCCTTAAGAAATTTATATTTTGAACTTTTTAATTTTAAATTATGTGTTTTTAAATTGAAAATCAAGGATATCTCTTTTTTTTGTTCAGTCAATGCGCGGTTTAAAGGGTTAAATAGGGGGGGACTAGAAATTCACAGAAACTTCCTGTTTATGACTAGCTTCAAAAATCTGTAATTGCCGCTTTGGAACCCAAAAGACCCCCTGCCCCCCCCCCATACAATCAAAACATGTTTCTTTAAAGTTGAAATGTTTAGAAGGTAATTTTGAGTCTGTTTTGTTATATTTCCCGCTATTTTGTTTCATCACTTTTCCTACGCCTTTTTTTGTCCGTACTTGTAAGATACAGCGGGAACACCACTCCTAATCTTTGTTAAAATAATTGTGTACTGCAGTTTATATCACTTCCTGAAAAAGTACTCTCATTCTATTAACATTAATATGGAGTTTCTTCCTTTGTATTCTTAAGTATCCAGTTTATTCTGTTTTAAAATCTACAAAAGATCTTATTATTGTAAAATTTGTATTTGTTGAATTTGTTGTAGGGTGATGATAATATGGAGAGGAGTGTCTGATCACATCTCCAGGCTTATCAGTGCTACAGCTCCTACCCTGGATACTCTCTTCCAACTAGAGAGAGCTGTCACAGCTGTACTCAGGCTAGCTGTCAGGTAGGAAACAGACAGCTGTACTCAGGCTAGTTGTCAGGTAGGATACAGACAGAGAGAGAGCTGTCAGACAGCTGTACTCAGGCTAGCTGTCAGGTAGGATACAGACAGCTGTACTCAGGCTAGCTGTCAGGTAGGATACAGACAGCTGTACTCAGGCTAACTGTCAGGTAGGATACAGACAACTGTACTCAGGCTAGCTGTCAGGTAAGATACAGACAGCTGTACTCAGGCTAGCTGTCAGGTAAGATATAGACAGCTGTACTCGTCAGGTAGGATACAGACAGCTGTACTCAGGCTAGTTGTCAGGTAGGATACAGACAGCTGTACTCAGGCTAGCTGTCAGGTAGGATACAGTCAGCTGTACTCGTCATGTAGGATACAGACAGCTGTACTCGTCAGGTAGGATACAGACAGCTGTACTCAGGCTAGCTGTCAGATATGGGGTACTAAGCACTGGTTGTCAGTATGGATAGCAGACAGGTTATAAGAACAAATTTCGAATCAGTATAAAAAAAAATTCTACATAATTGATTAGATAAGATATATTATTAAGAAAATACCCCGTGGAAGCTTCCGAATTCCTAATATTTCCAGTACGTGTATAATATATTTTGTATATTGTACAGAAATATTTAGAGGAATTAGAACGGAGCTAGCTCACATTGCTGGATCATTGATGTTTTTATGAATTTCTCTTAGATGTACATATATTTGAATAGAAATAGTTTCATGTTTTCTGGGTTTCCAGATAGAATAGAAATATGATGGATAGAGAGAACGTATCTTGTTTAGTTCTTACAAACAATCTGAAAACTATTATTCATAAATGGAAATATGTTTTGTTTGCAGCTATATTTTAAACAAAGTCATGGAATGGAAAAAAATTATCAAAAGTATCAATATATTAATAATAAGATTAAACGGTCGTGTGGGTATATTTGCATAACAAAATATCTCCTTTTTATCTTATGAAGTTTCTTTCTTAAACGCAATTATTGCTAAATATAAGTACATATTTAGGTATGTATTATATTAATAAATAATCAATTAATGCTGAAAGTTGTATTAAAATACTGTCTGTTTTATTTCCCTTTGAACTGTTTAAACCTCGGTTTTTTTTTTTATATAAGCTTCAATCCGGGTTAAATACACTCTTTAATCAGTTCCTTTGACAAAATAGAAAATCCTAAATGATTTATTTTATAAATTTTCTTTTCTTTGTAAACTAGCAATTTCTATTTTCTTTTAACCATATTATAGGAAACCGATTCTTCGTTGTGCAAAACCACAGATGTATTCTCTATTTATAACTTTAATAACTTAGTTTTTAGCCTGGTTTCTTATCCTAGTTCTTCGTTCTTTTCCTTGCTCTTATCCTTGTCTTATCCTGGTTATTATCCTAGTTCTTTGTTCTTGTCCCTGTTCTTATCCTATTTCTTTGTTCTTGTTCTTGTCCTTATCCTTAGTTCTTCGTTCTCATCCTTGCTCTTATCCTTGTCTTATCCTTGTTATTATCCTATTTCTTTGTTCTTGTCCTTGTTCTTATCCTAGTTCTTCGTTCTTATCCTAGTTCTTTGTTCTTGTCCCTGTTCTTATCCTTGTTATTATCCTATTTCTTTGTTATTATCCTTGTTCTTATCATAGTTCTTTGTTCTTATTCGTGTCTTATCCTAGTTTTTCGTTCTTATCCTTGTTCTTATCCTAGTTCTTTGTTCTTGTCCTTGTTCTTATCCTTGTCTTATCCTTGTTATTATCCTATTTCTTTGTTCTTGTCCTTGTTCTTATCCTAATTCTTCGTTCTTATCCTAGTTCTTTGTTCTTGTCCCTGTTCTTATCCTTGTTATTATCCTATTTCTTTGTTATTATCCTTGTTCTTATCATAGTTCTTTGTTCTTATTCGTGTACTTAACTTATATCTTATCCTTGTTCGTATCCTTGTTCTTTTCCTTGTTCGTATCCTTGTTCTTTTCCTTGTTCTTAACTTAGTTCTTATCCTTGTTCTTTTTTCTATCTTAGTTCTTTTTTCTATCCTTGTTCTTATCCTAGTTCTTTGTTCTTATCCTTGTTCGTATTCTTAGTATGTATCCTTGTTCTTATCCTCGTTCTTTTCCTCGTTCTTTTCCTTGTTCTTAACTTAATTCTTATCCTTGTTCGTATCCTTGTTCTTAACTTAGTTTTTATCCTTGTTCTTATCATTGTTCGTATCCTTGTTCTTATCCTTGTTCTTAACTTAGTTCTTATCCTAATTCTTAACCTTGTTCCTATCCTTGTTCTTACCTTGTTCTTTTCCCAGTTCTTATCCTAGTTTTTATCCTTGTTCTTATCCTTGTTTTTATCCTTGTTTTTATCATTGTTCTTACACTTGTTCTTATCCTAGTTCTCATCCTAGTTCTTATGCTAATTGTTATCATTGTTCTTGTTCTTATCCTTGTTCTTATCCTAGTTCTTATCCTTGTTCTTATCATTGTTCGTATCCTAGTTCTTATCCTAGTTTTTACCCTTGTTCTTATCCTTGTTCTTATCCTAGTTCTTATCCTTGTTCTTATCCTTGTTCTTATCCTAGTTCTTATCCTAGTTCTTATCCTAGTTCTTATCCTAGTTCTTATCTTATCCTAGTTCTTATCCTTGTTCTGTTCTTATCCTTGTTCTTATCCTAGTTCTTATCCTAGTTTTTATCCTTGTTCTTATCCTTCTTTGTTCTTATCCTAGTTCTTATCCTTGTTTTTATCATTGTTCTTACACTTGTTCTTATCCTTGTTCTTATCCTGTTCTTATCCGTGTTCGTATCCTTGTTCTTATCCTAGTTCTCCGTGTTATTATCAATTTTTTTTTTCTTGTTCTTGCTATTTTTTTCGTGTCTGTTCTTTTTAACTTAGAAATATTTATATCTCCCTGGCCCCTGATATCAATATACTTGAATTTTATATTTGTTGTGTTAGAAAATGGAAAACAAATTATGTGAAAATGTTTATGAAGATGTCAAGTTGGGGGAAAATATCAAAATGTTTATGAACTTTTACACAAAATGGTTCTAACATGTTATTTATTATTTTTTTCAATTTTATAATAACTCGTTGTTGAGTAGTATTAGAATTAGAATTTCCCTGTTTAATGATTTTAAGCTATAATTTATATCCTAGAAATACTACAAAACTTGAATTAATTACAATATGATTGTTTAATTAATTATTTCTTGCATATCATGCTGAGACTAGAATTGCATCCAAAACATAATATTTTGGGTAAAAATCTGAATATTATACAAATAAATGCAACACGAAAGAAATGTTAAAAACTGAGGACAACAACTATTTTTTGGTGTCGTTTAGAAGGAGTAAATTTTAATTTTGAAGTGTCTAGTGTGGGGTATTCCCCCCTCCATACCTTGCTTAGTGAAGGTTTGTAACCGAGTTTCCCGTTTTTATTCTTGGAGCGTGAACATTAAATATTCTGTGAATGTTATGAATACCGGATCAAGAATGTAAAATGTCCTACTTTCTTCCTTTATTATTCCCAGCATAGTCTAGTTTATCCTGCCTAGGATTTATATCTTGCAAACTTTACTCAAAATAATTGGATTTTCTTTTTAAACCTTGTTCAAAATAATAGGATCAGATAATCGAGAAAATATATATTCATGATAATAGGATGACCCCCCCCCACACCAGCTATGTGCTCTCAGATTATGGGGTTGAAAGGGACCCTCTAACTATATAGAGTGGCATGTCATGTCCGATTCACAACGTTATTTTTAAGTTTTTCTAATCCAGAACGTATGAGACGTCAAGATTTTCTCTTGAAAAATTGGTTATTTTTGATTGATCTTTTGTCGCAGAAACAATGTGGAAAATGTTGGAAACGACGATATCTTCCACGTTATTCAGATCAGATAAAGGTTGTGAATCGGACATGCACTGCTTTTTCTTTTAATTAAGGGTCCCTTGAGGAGAGAAAGCCTCAGCTCGACTTTCCTGGCTTGAGCAACTTTTTCATTTTTGAAGACTGCAACTACCACTAGAAATTAATTTTTGTTATTCATTTATTTTGGACACACAACTAAATTGAGCAGTGGACTTAGTGACATTAAATCGATCTAATCTCGTGGAATTAATCTAAACATTTTCTTTTATCCGTATATTCTTCTTTTCCCTGGTCAACGTTCAGATGAGAGTCGGAGATTTTAAACCTCAGCCAATCATGAGTTCAGGATTTGAATCGATTTGTATTTTTATCAATTCTCTTGAAAGAATGTCAAGGGGGTAAAGGAGTGAAGTTTTGTAAGTTTGCTCCATCTAAACCAAAAGTTTCCGATTTGTCCGTCAATATTATTACTGTAAAGGAAAAATGTAAGGGGGTATAGGCTGAAACCTGAGACCTGAGTTCTATATTATGTTCTTGTCTGGAGAAATTGATATTAAACTGTGTCAAAATAATACCATAACGTATATTTGTAAGATTTTGTTTAATATTCAATAAATACGAAACCAATCTAAAAACGACGATAACCAGAGGAGTCTGAGAAACTCAACTGTGCTCCTTTTATTATTTGAATTTAATAATTTTTAAATTTTAATTGATATAATTGATAATATCATTTATACGTCCGTACCATGTTACCAACACTCCAGCCAATGGCAATGCAGTAATATTGTCACGTGCCTCCGTCTGTATTATGTGACCAGTATACTGCACTGTAATTGGAGGGAGTTATGGTCACGTAATACGGACGTATATCTTACATATAAATGTTTTGGTATAATTTTGACACAGTTTTATGTAAATTTCTCGAGACAGGAACATCAGATAGATGTCTCAAAGGTATCGTTCTACTCCTGAGATTCTCAGGTTTCAGCCTATACCCGGCCCCTTTCATTTTTCCTTTACGGTACCTTTAAACATGTTTTTAGACTTGTTAAAAACGTTTGATATTCTAATTTTTTTAAAATCATTTAGACTAGTATCTCTTAATTTTTTCCTTCATACGAGAAGCATGCCCCCCCCCCCTCCAAAAAAAGGTCCCCCCTTTTTCTCCGTTAAAAAAATATATTCCCCCACCCTTCCCTCAGTCCTTCTGTACGAGATAAGTTTAGTTAACTCAATATTCTAGTCTGCCATAACATGCATCAAACTTTAACCCAGGACATATTCTCCAGCTTATCCTCATTCAGTCATACTGCTAGAAGCCATACTTTTTTTTTATAAAATACTAGCTCAAGGGCCCGGCGTCGTCTAAGGAAAAAATATTTTTAAAAAAATGATTTTTTAGCCTATAACACCCCCCGGCCAACCATGAGCGTCCACAAACAAATTTAGCCCAATCGGTCCAGCCGTTTGGCCGGCTATACGCAACATATGTATGAATATCTTGTTTTATTATATAGAATATTGACGAAACATATATGTGTATTAGTGTAGTGTTTACTACCTTGGGAACCTAGCTTCGTCAGGAAACTTAACTACCCTTAAAAGTCAACGCTGTCCAAGCTAAAAACATTTCCGTGGTTCCACCGCCACAAACAAAGATTACTACTTTATATCTATAGAAGGGTGTGTATGTTTGTTACCTACGGCCAGCAGGAAAAGTTGAACTTAAATGTTAAAATTTTATCTTGAAATATTTGTCTACTTCTAGATTGGCGAGGAAGGAAGAGATTGCCTCCACGGTGGTTCAATCCTTGAAGATATTACTGGCGATGAAACCAGGGTCTATTTTTCATGTTTCTAAACAGGTTTGTTTTATCTCATAATTAAACATATACATAATCAAAAAATTCATTTATGATAGTTTTCCCTCATAATTTATGAGGGAAAACGATTTTTTTGTTTTTATTTTATTTTAATACAACAAATCTATCTAATTCTGTCGATAAGGTGAGTTACGGTCTCCATGATTTGCTGCGCAACAATGCCGCAAATATTCACTCTGCTGAGGACTGGTCTGTCGTCTTTAGTCTGCTAGAGGTACAGAACACCTTTTTCTATAATGGATTTAGAAAAAACATTAAATTTTTATTCATAATGTTTTTTTAAAGTTTTTTTTTCAAAAGTTTTCCTCATTTTGACATTTCTTGAGATTTACATAAATCTTTTGTAATCCTTCTTTGATGTATTAATCTCCCCTAGCAGTTCCATCTTAATCCTTTCTATTCAAATAGATCCATTTTATATCCCCCCCTCACAATTCCTTCTTCGATTTTAAACATAAACTGCGTTTCAAACTTCTCGACAGGGGGGGGGGGGGATACTTTAATGTAAAAATGGTCCACACATTATTGGCTAGTATTGAAAGTAATCATGTTGCAATAATAAAATCATCAAAGCAAAAAGAAATGCAGGGCTTGTTATTGTTATTGTTATACATTATTGGCTAGCATTGAAAGTAATAATGAATGTTCTATATTAAAATCATCAAAGCAAAAAGAAATTTATGGCTTGTTGTTATTGTTATTGTTATTGTTATTGTTATTGTTATTGTTATTGTTATTGTTATTGTTATTGTTATTGTTATTGTTATTGTTATTGTTATTGTTATTGTCATTGTCATTGTCATTGTCATTGTTAGTGATACTGTTACTGATTCAGTTATGGTCATTGTCAATATTATTGTTGAGGTTGTTGGAGCCGGAGCTAGTCCAGATTTACCTTCATCAGGGCTAGGAACTGATGAGGACAGGTATTTTAATCATTATTATTATTATTATCACTATTAACATTATTATCTTTATAGATTTATATAGTACACTAAATAAAAAAGTACGATAAAATGATAAGAATAAAAACAATATGATAAATATGAACAAAATTATCATCTTTAACTTTGAGGAGTTCATGAAGGATTGTTAATTTCCATGCTTGATTTACTGAAATCCTATAGTTCGTTAAATTTTGTAATAACAAACAATTTTAGTGTTCTAGAATGTATATCACAATTTTCTTTTCTTTTATCATTAAAAGTCGGATTCTGATGACACTTTTTTATCAAAAAAATGTACAAAACTAGTATTTTGTTATGAGAAACATTGGAAAGGGACTAAATCCATCGGTTCTCTTATAATAATTTTCTATATTTGATAAACCTAGGACCTTAAAATCTTATAAAACTGAACCATTTTATTGTTAAAGGTATTAAACTAAGTATTGACTTTTATGTTGCAAATATAAGGTAGTAAACTTCATAGTAAACTTCATAGTAAACCATCGTTTATTGTAAACTGTAATTTTTAATAATAGTGTTTAGCATTGAGTGCTAGGTTTTCAAAAAAAAACACTTAATACTATTGACCTCACCTATTCACTGTTTACCTCACATTATTACTATTTACCTCACCTATTTACTATTTACCTCACCTATTTACTATTGACCTCGCCTATTTACTATTTACCTCACCTATTTACTATTTACCTCATCCTATTTACTATTTACCTCACCTATTTACTATTGACCTCACCTATTTACTATTTACCTCACCTATTTACTATTGACCTCGCCTATTTACTATTTACCTCACCTATTTACTATTGACCTCACCTATTCACTGTTTACCTCGCCTATTTACTATTGACCACACCTATTTACTATTTACCTCACCTATTTTACTTTTGACCTCGCCTATTTACTATTTACCTCGCCTATTTACTATTTACCTCACCTATTTACTATTGACCTCGCCTATTTACTATTGTTCTCACCTATTTACTATTGACCTCGCTTTCCTACTATTGACCTCACTATTTTACTATTGACCTCACTATTTTACTATTGATCTCACTGTTTTACTATTGACTTCGCTTTTCTACTATTGACCTCACTATTATACCGTTAATCTTCCTATTATACTATTTGACCTCACCTATTTACCATTGACCTCACTATTTCACTATGGACCTCACTTTCCTACTATAAACCTCTGTATGTTAGTGGTCAAGGAGGTGAGAGTGAGGATGGTGGAGGACGGGATAGAGCTGAAAGCGGAGGATGGATTGATCTTGGTAAAGATGACAAGAAACTATTGGTGAGTTTTCAAAAACTGTCTCCCATCCCTCTTATCTTTGTTTACATAACAAGTGTACTGCATTGTATTGTAAAAAATTATTATTTTTTCTAAATGAATTCTTTTACATACTATTATTTAAAAACGAACTAATTGACAAATATACAAAACTTGTCCTGCCCCCCCCCCCAACCATGTAAAGATTAGTTGGTGCTGAGTCTTATTTTGTTTTGAAATATACACTTCTTGAAGCTGGAAGTATCTATGAGGGGTGAAATATACACTTCTTGAAGCTGGAAGTATCTATGAGGATATAGTGGTGAAATATACACTTCTTGAAGCTGGAAGTATCTATGAGGATATAGTGGTGAAATATACACTTCTTGAAGCTGGAAGTATCTATGAGGGGTGAAATATACATTTCTTGAAGCTGGAAGTATCTATGAGGATATAGTGGTGAGAAATATACACTTCTTGAAGCTGGAAGTATCTATGAGGATATAGTGGTGAAATATACAGTTCTTGAAGCTGGAAGTATCTATGAGGATATAGTGGTGAAGTTTTGAAATATACACTTCTTGAAGCTGGAAGTATCTATGAGGATACAGTGGTGAAGTTTTGAAATATACACTTCTTGAAGCTGGAACACACACTCCCACCTACTGCGCCTGTGAATACAAGTTTAAAGCTAGGTTTGGTGAAACGAAGTAAATTCTGAAAAAAATTCATCAAAACTTTCTTCAATTTAAACTTTTTCTCTTTGTCAGTCAAACACAAATCAGTGCTTTATCAAGTTGATAAGTCAGGTGAAAAATGTTTCTTTCTATTTTCCTAGATTATACATTTTATTCTAGGTGTTTTAACCAATTATTCTAGATTATACATTTTATTCTAGATGTTTTAACCAATAATCCTAGATTATACATTTTATTCTAGGTGTTTTAACCAATTATCCTAGATTATACATTTTATTCTAGATGTTTTAACCAATAATCCTAGATTATACATTTTATTCTAGGTGTTTTAACCAATTATCCTAGATTATACATTTTATTCTAGATGTTTTAACCAATTATCCTAGATTATACATTTATTCTAGATGTTTTAACCAATTATCCTAGATTATACATTTTATTCTAGGTGTTTTAACCAATTATCCTAGATTATACATTTATTCTAGGTGTTTTAACCAATTATCCTAGATTATACATTTATTCTAGATGTTTAACCAATTATCCTAGATTATACATTTATTCTAGATGTTTTAACCAATTATCCTAGATTATACATTTATTCTAGGTGTTTTAACCAATTATCCTAGATTATATATTTTATTCTAGGTGTTTTAACCAATTATCCTAGATTATACATTTATTCTAGATGTTTTAACCAATTATCCTAGATTATACATTTATTCTAGATGTTTTAACCAATTATCCTAGATTATACATTTATGTTTTAACCAATTATCCTAGATTATACATTTATTCTAGGTTTTTAACCAATTATCCTAGATTATATATTTTATTCTAGATGTTTTAACCAATATTAATTGGTCTTCAATATCACAATTAACTAGACATAAGGAAAAGGTCAAATTTAGGCGACTTAACTGCTACGACTTTGCGACCTTGTATGTACGGAAACAGGAAATTTATTCGGTTATATATTAGAAATTCAGAACATTATTGATTCTCTCAATACCTCTTTAATAAGGAGAGTAATGATTGATGGCATAAAAGATTTCAAACTGACGTGCAATTTACTCAAGTTGGACGTGAAATATTTAGACGGAAATTTAATTACTTTTCATAATTTAATCATGTTCCATAATTTGACTTTCTTTAATTTTCCCAAACACTTGTATAAATTTGAGCCTTTTTTAATAATTGTTTACTGTGGATAGAGTAAACAGTTTTGGGTTTCATTTACTCTGCCAGCCCCCCCCCCCCCCCCCCCCTTTTTTTATTTTTTAAAAGATATAGGGGGGGGGGGGAGGTAAAAATTAATTTAGTTTAAACTTCTCATGCAATCCAATCATTACATTAAAGGGACAGAAGATGTAATTTCAATGTGACCTCCTTCCTTTTTACAATTCACAGCGGTTTAAACCATTTAAACCATTTAAACCATTCTCTGAACAACAATGAGGGAGATATCGTGGTTTTTTTTACCTGAAAAGGTTTGAATTCTGAAGATTATCTTTAAATCTGTCTTGCTGTGGAAATCCGCAAGTTATTTTTAAAGAAATTGCAATTGAAAATTATCAATTTTTAGACAAAAAAGATATTATTTTTTATGTTTGAATAGACAATGATTTAAAGGGTACCGTTGTAAATCGAACATATCACTCTTTAAATAAAGGGACCCATGGAATTACGCCTACAGTCTCTTTAAGCCTTAAAGTGTAAATATTCTGTCTGAACTTTGAGTTTGAGCTGGTTCTGTTCCTTTAGCATTACAGCTCCCATTCATTATAATCTAAACTTACTTTATCAATACTTTTCAGAAATCCTTTTCCTATTCTCTAACTTCTCCGATCTTTATTCAAATATAATATATTCTAATCCCATCCATTATATTCATGTCCCCGCTTCCATTATATTAAGTTATTTCCTTTCAAATTTCATCAAAACTTTAACACCCTAGAGGGTTGGATAAGTGGACATTTCATTTTAACTGAACAATCAACATCCTCAACGCCCCCCCCCCCCTCACGTATAATTGAAATATCAAATTATATTTTCACCAAAAACTTAAAATCAATAATTTAAAAATGTTAAAACTAAGAAATTGTCGTTCCTGGAATAACTGTCTATCATACTAACTCCGGGTTCTATTTTATCCTGGTGTAATTATTCCTTCTATTCTAGGATCGGAAGCGTAGCAGTGAGCTGGTGGAGAGGAAGTACAGTATTGTGCACACCAGACAGATTGTTATGCACGACTCTATATCCTTCCTCAAGTCCTGTGAATCCCTCTCCTTCCTTGTCCGGGACGTGGTTCATATTACTCCGGAGAACTTTCACACTTGTGTTGCAGCTATACGCACCTTTGTGGAGGCTAGTTACAAGGGGGAGCTGACAACTGTGCGCTCGGATTTGACCTCCAGGGGGCGCGTGTCAGAGCGTCCTCTACCGAAGAGCAGTGTGAAGAGGACGCCAAAGAACAGAAATCCTCCGATTCGACGGATCCGGTCCGAACCCAGGAATATGGATTATGATGCAGATGAGGAGGAGGAAGATGAGCTGATAGGAGAGTATACTCATGTTACAATGCAGCTTCTAGACCTCATGCATACACTTCATACACGTGCTGCTGATGTTCATGAAGCGTGGGCCCAGGAGGGAGGAGGAGGAGGAGGTGAAGGAGATCTATGGGATACAGCATGGTGTCCTGTACTACAAGGTATGGCGAGATTGTGTTGTGATAGAAGAGCTGAGATTAGAACCCAGGCTCTTACTTTACTCCAGCGCTCTCTTCTTATACCAGATCTCCAAGTTCTCCAACCAACACAGTGGGAGTTCTGCTTTCTCCGGGTACTGTTCCCTATGCTGCGTAAGCTCCTAGAGCCAGGTTCTGGACCAGGTTCTATGACAGTATCAGGACGGGAGGAGACTAAACTCCGTGCTGCCATGATGCTGAGCAAAGTATTTCTTCAGCATCTTGGTCCTCTCTCCTCCCTTCCAACCTTCGCAGCTCTTTGGTTGACAATTCTAGATTTTATATCTCAGTTTGTTTCTACAGCTAGCACTGATCTTCTGTCTGATGCTTTACCCGAGAGTTTAAAGAATATGCTCCTTGTTATGGATACCAGCGGGAAACCTTTATTCTTCTCCGAGGAGACTGGAGAACCTACTCCACTATGGATTGTTACCTGGGAGAAAATAGATACCTTCCTCCCGACACTGAGACAAGAGACGTTTGGAGATTTAAAGACAAGGCGGGGATCTAAACCTAATCCACCAGCTGACAAAGTTGAGAACTCTTACCCAGCTTCTCTTAACGAAGCTCCAGTAGAACCGAGTTCACTTCCCAGTGGAGACAATTTTGATTCTAAGGAAAAAGTTGAAAGCGATTCTGTTGAATCCATCCCTCCTTTGGAGATATCAGCGGAGCAAGGTGAACACTACGACGCCAAACCTGAACTAGAGAAAGGTGTCCCCGTAGCAATCCAAGCTTTGTCTGAGAATGAACCTGGTCCTGCTCAGGAGCCACTTCTTGAAGTTTCTAATCAAGAATCCACGATTCAACCTCAATCAGAAGCTTCGGCAGCCGCTGCTTTCGAACCCACAGATGCTACTGCTCCGGGAGCTGTTCTTCCTGAACCTCCCGTAGCAACAGGGATAGCCAGTTACTTTTTCAGCTCCGTTATCTCCAGCCAGCCCTTTAGTGTAGTTGATCCAGGAGTAGGTGCCAGGGATAAATTCCCATCTCTACCTGTAAATCTGAACACACAGGGAACTGTTGTATCAACCCAGGGTTCTACACTGAACCTGCAAGGAACAAGGGTAGGACCAGGATTTCAATCCCCAACATCTCCAGGTCCAACTTCACCCATCGGTTCCCCGATCATCTCCAGCTCTGCCTTTAGTCTCCCAACCTCTCCATCTCATCCCAGTTCCAGTCCTAACATTCTCTTCTCTCCTATAGTTCCTGCTCCAGGTCCTATTGGAAACTCTCCCATAGCTGCTCCAACCCCTGTTATCCCTAACTCATCCAACCCTGTGATAACACCTTTAGTATCCAACAACATGATCGGCTCCAGTATTCAATCAACTGCATTTTCTCCAACCAACCCTCTGTTCCTCCCTACTGCTCCTCTCCCTCCATTTCCCACAAGTGTGTCTCCTCCCAACCCTCCAGAGTAAATATTTCAAATTCCCCTGACCCTGTGAAGTGTTAAGTGTTGACCCTCAAATATCTGTGATGTGCAATTCTTAAGTTGTCAAAACCAATCCTACTGTTGACATTTCTCCAGGCTCTGATTCAATGTAAATTCAACAACCAGTAGAATCCACTCTACAATAGAATAGAGAATTTAAATCATTTGTCCACTACATTATATGGTTTTATATGTTGGGTTAAATTTTAAATTTTTAGCCATGGAGCTTTACACTTCACTAGCTGGAAATAAAAGAATAATGTATTCAAATGCATATAGACCACTTCTGCACTTTTTTTGTGATAAAGTAAGACTATAATTTAATTTTTTTGGAACATTTTCAGAAACAATTTTCGATAAAATAACTTTTGAGTCTATTCATTCCAATGATTTTGTATGCAATATATTAGCCTGTTAGGTATCTAAATTAAATTTAGTTTTTGATCTAAACAGTTTTGTTGCGTATACTGTATATTTATCCAATCGAGTTGACCAGCTTATCGACCAGCCGCGTGGCCGCAGATTTTCTTTTTTTAATGTTTGAACAAATATTTATGTTTATGATATTTTATTTAAAATAAAAGTTTATCAGGATGCTTTTTGGTTTTTATTTGCGCGGGTGATTTCAATTTTCTTCTTTATGATTTTTCAATTAAAATTGACTGACTACCTATTTTTATGTAAAATTATTTTGTTACAGGGTGTCTCAAAAAACACGGGAATTTAGTGACGAATTCGATATCGTCTTTGTTAAGAATTAGACTTGTAATACCTGATATCAAAAGCCATAATATTATTATGTCTGCTAGAGTTTATTTTATGGAAAGGGTAGAAGACTGTAAAGATGTGTTTATAATGTCGCTGCAAGATGAACAGTGAAGACGGACAAGTTTACTCTGTTTTTATACTGTCATTTTCTCGTTGTACTGAGTACACCCTTATACAGACAAAACACAAACAAATAAATTGTAAACATAGCAGACGAAAATCTTACTGATTACAGCTTTCTCAGAAGGTATCACTATGCTTAATCAAAGAATTATTTAAAAAGCTGATATCGAAATCGTCATTCAATTCCCATGCTTATTGGGACACCCTGGATAATATCCTTATTCTTTCACTTTCAGATAATTTAGCTGTCAATTGTCTGTAGGTATAGAGCAGACTTAAACGTGGGGTTCTTTTAGGTTTTAATAATAAATCACTGGATTATTCGATCATTTACTTAATCTAGTTTTATTTGTAGTTTTTATTCTATTCTAAAAATTCCATTTGTTTCGTAATTTTATTTATTTACGAGACACAGATAGTTGATTATTATTTTAGGGAAAATATTTTATTATCTGTGTTTTGATTTGAAAATTAATTTTCAATGAGTTTTTATCTAAAAAACCATAATTTTCCGTTTATCGTCAAAAGTTGAAATTTTTATGTTATAGTTTATATATTGGCAGGAACTATAGTTTATATATTGGTAGAAAGTATAGTTTATATATTGGTAGAAACTATATAGTTTATATATTGGTAGAAACTATATAGTTTATATATTGGTAGAAACTATATAGTTTATATATTGGTAGAAACTATATAGTTTATATATTGGTAGAAACTATATAGTTTATATATTGATAGAAACTATATAGTTAATATATTGATAGAAACTATAATAACAGATTATTAACGAAGATGTATTAAGAAGGAGTTGAGAATGTATGGTTGGTTCTGAGCTTTCCAAACTGTAGTAAATTATATATTTGTTACCAATTACGAAAATTTTAATGAAAAATATACTTTCTTCTAATGATGTTTCAAGTAAAATCCCATTTTTTAGTTAATCTAGCTGCGCAGAGATAGGACTTTCTAATGTTTTCATTGTGACATCCGGTAGAATAATCTCATTTTCAATCTAATCTTTTTTGAAACTAGAAAAATTGATTTGAGAAATAAGCTTTTCGAAATGACTGAAGAAAAAATACATCATGTATTGTATATATATTTGTTTTTATTGAAAAAAGATTAACATGATCCTATACTATACTGATTTTTGATCCCATCCATACTTAAACTGGTTTCTGCACCGCTGATAATATCCAAACAACGATCAAGGTTGGAACGAATACAGGGTTTAGAAGAATATATCCTGCTCCTCCAGGTTGATCTTTAAACCTCTCATTACACAACGGTTCATCAGAGCAAAGACATAATCTAAAATATACAGAGTGTCCCAATAAATATGGGAATTGAGTGACTATTTCGAGTTCGTCCTGTAAATAATTTTGATTTAGTATGGAAAGCTTTGATCCGTAGAATGTTTTGTCTAGAGTTCATAATTTGTTTGTTTTATTGCATTCATTGTATACTGTATATACTTAGTCCTATATATAGACAAAAAAAAATCTTCCCTCTTCCCACCTCAGTGTTGATCTTGCAAAAATATTAAAACATATTCTATTTTGCATATTAACCAGACAGCCTCTTATATCGTTTTAAAAAAAATATTAATAAAATCTAGAAAACGTATTATTTTGTTGAAATTAGATTTCCAACCCTAATTCTTCTTAAAGAGTACTCCGAAGTCGACGCTCACTTTCATGTTTATTGTGACACCCTTGTAGAGAACTAGATCAGATATTCATGAATCTCATGTTTATTGAGACACCCTTGTAGAGAACTAGATTAGATATTCATGAATCTCATGTTTATTGAGACACCCTTGTAGAGAACTAGATTAGATATTCATCAATTTCATGTTTATTGAGACACCCTTGCAGAAAACTAGATCAGATATTCATCCATCTCATGTTTATTGAGACACTCTTGTAGAGAACTAGATCAGATATTCATTAATCTCATGTTTATTGAGACACCCTTGTAGAGAACTAGATCAGATATTCATCAATTTCATGTTTATTGAGACACCCTTGTAGAGAACTAGATCAGATATTCATCAATTTCATGTTTATTGAGACACCCTTGTAGAGAACTAGATCAGATATTCATCAATTTCATGTTTATTGAGACACTCCTGTAGAGAACTAGATCAGATATTCATCAATTTCATGTTTATTGAGACACCCTTGCAGAAAACTAGATCAGATATTCATCAATTTTATCTCAAGGATTTGTAAAAAGGTTTAAATCATTGAGTTAAAGAATATATGAAAGCTGAGAATTACAAGATGTCCCTAAAACATTATAGTTGGTGCCAGAACCTCAATTTTGAATTGATTTATTCTTTCTCTACATAAACAATATATTTAAAAAATGTCCTATCTAATGGTGCAAACAAAAACCATGATCATTGAAAATTTAATGAACAAATATTTAGTAAATATTTTTAAGTTCTTATAAATGGAGATCGGTTCAAAATTGAGGATCTGACATCAATTACTGTTTTTTAGAGGCACCCTTCATATTACAAGAAAAAACGAAAATGTAAAGGAAAGATTTTGTTCAGTGCATTTGGAAGAAATCCATTCCATTTTATTCATCTTTCATCTGTATTATATATCATTTATCATTATTAGTTTTGTTGTAAAGCAAATTGCAGAGTTTCTTTGGTTTTGGAAACAATATCTATGCTGTCAAGTAACCTATAAAATCTTTTTAAAAAATACAATGAGACCTATAAAACTCTGGACAAGGAAGACGATATTTAAGCAGTATTTGATGCAGTTATACAGCAATTAGTTTTATCCGTTGCTTGAACCCCAAATTATTAAGTGAAATGGGTCTGTATCAACGGTAAAATTGCTGCATTTAATGTGCTTTGGATTATTAAAAAAAATATTCTAACAGTCGTCTTCTTATTTCACAGTTTAATGGTTCTCACCGTGCAAAAAGGCTATTCTTCATTAAATTATCTATAATTCTAGAGGTTTCTTTTTGCTTTTACTAATCCTATATACTTTCTATATATTTGTAAGGATGAAGTGTCTGAGAGGAAAATGAAATGTGGAGAAGAAAACTTGTTTTTCTGTCCTTCATCCGGTATCTTCGCTAATGAAAACTTCTTACAAGGACGACAGGATCACAGTCAAGGTTGACGTACGTTTAGGTTTAGAACCAGGCTCTGGGTTGAGATCTTAGCTAGTGAGAAGTAATATTGATTTCAAGTCTTTACATTTTATTCGCTTACAATGGGCCAAAATTAAAACAATCTACTCTGGTTAGGCTGGTCCAAACTACATAGTAAACAATGTGATTTTTTATTTGTATTATCTCGTTGACTAAAAATTAATTTTAAAATAATGAAAAACGGATGATTATTAATGTAGTCCTTGTTCCACTTTAAAAAATACATACTTCAAAAAAGAAGAGTTAAAAGTTATCATTTACAGAATCTTATTCTTTACATAGTGGGGTCCTAGGACCAAACAGCTGTGGAAACGGAAGACGACATTTTAGCAATCTTGTGTTTTTGATATCGGCAAAAAATATTTAAAAATGTGTCTATGTTTAGCTTGACTCAAACCTGGATTTTCACCAAATAGTTTCAAAAAAAGTTTCAATACAGCATTTCAACCACATTTATGTTATTAGAAATGGTATTTTTACTTTATAATGAACTATTAATAACTTGAATAAGAGTTTTTATGTTTTGACGGATAATTTATAAAAGAAGAGCGCCAAAATCAATTTAATACGGAGTGGAATAATTTTGCACATAAAAACATTGGATTGTAGGGAGGGAGGGAGGGGGGATATTATGGTTCCTCACACAGAATACGATAAAAAGAGAAAACTTGAAGATTCTGTGTCATTATCTTCTTGCAGTTTGATGTTTTACATCGTTTCTTTCCTTGGAGACATTGGATATTTCTAGTTCAAGGTAAGATCTGTCCTTTTTTATCTCCAGGCCCCCTTGGAAACTTTGGATATTTCTAGTTCAAGGCAAGATATGTCCTTTTATTTCCAGACCCCCTTGGAGACCTTAGATATTTCTAGTTCAAGGTAAATCTGTGCTTTTTTATCTCCAGGCTCCCTTGGAGACCATGGATATTTCTAGTTCAAGGCAAGATCTGTGCTTTTTTATCTCCAGGCCCCCTTGGAGACATTGGATATTTCTAGTTCAAGGAAAGATATGTCCTTTTATTTCAAGACCCCCCCCCCCCGAGACAAGAAAACCAATAGAACTAACCAAAACCAGGTGTTCTGTCTGGTTGAAGGAATCTATGAAATATTCACGAAAATGTAAAAATAAGGACAATTTTCAGTTGACAACTTTTTTCTATAGACTTACTTCTGAAACGATTTTACAGATTTTAGTGAGCTAAATTTTACATTCGTGGCTTCTGCTTTATTTCTTTGCCATAGCATTCATTTTCTTTATGATAATCTTTACCCTGCAGGTTCTGGATAATACAGGGTGGCCCGCTAAAAATGAAAATGTATTACAACCTTGTATTGGCGTTAGATGTTGGAGAGAAAAATATCCATTCCATTAAATTAACGCTTTAGGAGCAGTAAGTATAAACGTAATTTGAAGTGAGTGAGATGACCCGCCATACAAAGATTGCAATGTTAGATGACAACTGTACCCTTGAAACCTTTATTTAAACACTAATGTGGAAGATATTGTCGTTTTTCTATAGATTAAGAATCTTTAATTCTGATAATTCATATATGATTTCCTGCAGTAGAAATGCGCAAGTCACTTTGAAGAGCAACCACAATTGTAAATAATCAGTTTTCAATATTATCTAATTCATACTTGATCAGACCAAGCTTTTGAGGATACTGTTGTAAACTAGATATTGCTTTCTTTGCATGGAGGGTAACTTAATATACGCTTATAGTCCATTTAAGTAATGTTTTATTCTTTGTATGTCTGTATCTATATATATTAGAATTTTCTATTAATATCAAGAATCCAGGTTCAACTCTAAACTAGTTTTTAACAAAGAATTTGTCTGAAAAGGTTTTGGTTGTAGAAACCTTGAACCCCGGGATAAATGTTTTCTGACTGTTTTTACCTCACAAACTAATAATTACAATGTGTCGGCCTGCTGCTGCTGCTGCTGCTTCCTACTGCTGGAAACCAGAAATGTTGGCAGCTTGTAATATAAATGGTATACACAGGATATTGGATTTATCCCAGGAGAAAACTCAGGATAGGATTGGAGAACTCAGTTTGGAGTTGGAGATCTCAGTTTGGAGTTGGAGAACTCAGTTTGGGGTTGGAGATCTCAAGATAGGTTTGGAAAAATCATGGTAGGGTTGGAAAAACTAGAGTAGGGTTCGGGCATTAAAAGAAGGGTTGGAGAACTCAGGGCTCATTACAGAGCGTGAGAACTCAGGATAGAATTGGAAATTGAGAATTCAGGGGCGTGTAGGAGATCTCAGGGTTGGGTTGGAGAACTCAGGGCTGGGTTGGAGAACTCAAAATAGGGTAGGGTTGGAGAACTCAAAACTGGGTTAGAGAAATCAGGGTAGGGTTGGAAAACTATAAGTAGGATCGGATCAAGCTCAGGACACGATCGGAGAACTCAAATTGCATTGGATGTAAACACATGAAAGAGAGTAAAAAAACTCAGAGGAAAGAACTCGAGAGAGGATTAAAAAACAAAGATGAGCGCTGGAGTAGTGTTTCATTAGCTCACATACATATGGTATAATAATTATGTAATAACTTCTCAAATATACCCACCCCCCCACCCCCCACTCTCCGTAAAAATTACAAATATTCCCCCATATGTATATATTGGGAAGGAATAGGGAACGGATTACGACCAATTGTTGTTAGAATTTTGTCTAAAGGATTTGAAAAATGAGACCGATCTCTAGAATACATATAGGTTTAATATTTTATTCTAATCCTGTAACCAAACCTTAGTTCTAATACAGGAATCATTCTTTCTAATCATTTTTAATATTTTTTTTGAAGAAACAAAACTTTGCTACGAACTCTGATTTTGTAAACCCTATATCTTTGCAATCCGATGTCGTAGACCTTGATATTTTAAACTGTGAACTCTTTATGATCAAATAGGCTAAGTTCGAAAATCAAAGGTTTACAAATACACCTTCAGGTTGCAAAGATATAGGGACTAGCAAATTTGAGTCCAACTGTAGAATCCTGAGTTTGTTCTATATCTCACCTTCCAACTGTAAAATCCTGAGTTTGTTCTATATCTCACCTTCCAAATGTAGAATCCTGAGTTTGTTCTATATCTCACCTTCCAACTGTAGAATCTTGAGTTTGTTCTATATCTACTCCATCCCAGCAACCGTTGGTCACAAACAGTGCGTCATTCGTCTAATCATATTTTCAATGTTACAGGGAGTGTTCGCGAAAAAATAAAGGGTGTATAGGCTAACGTCGAAAAATATTTGATGGTGATTAATACTAATCTGATTTCTATCTGTTGCGTCCAACGAGGTTGCGTCTATCAGGAGAATATTGCTAAAACCACTCATACCGAAGAACGTAGTGTCCATACAAATTCAGAAAGTTGCAATATGTAACTCGGACCGTAAAAATCATTTAATTCCAAACAAATCATTCAGATATTACAACCTTTAATCATCGATTAATTTTCGACGCATTCGTATAGAGTTGAAACTTCATAATATTATTTATTTGTTTTATATATGATGCAATTTAAACAACGATTAGTTGGCCGCCAGGTGTCTCAGCTCTTGATTAATTAAACGATTTAAAGAAACATGGAAATAATCTTTGATCTGCACGGCTTAAAGTTTTTGGATTTTATCCTTCTTATTCGAGACAAAACAAACTCTTGAAAGGCTGTAAATGTAAGTAGTTATACTTTCTTAATATTTATAACAGTTAGCAAATGTAAAAAATAATAAATTTTTAGTTTACTCTTGCTAGATTCAATCTTTTGTAATTACAAGGCAACTTGTTTTACAATTTGTTAGAAAATCAACTTATTATGTGAAGAAATGGGTTTATTTATGCTTCACAATTGCTCATTGAATTATCTAAGATCATAACTTTGAATCTAACAGTCGTCCCCCCCTATTCTTCCATAGTTTAATGGGTCCCACTGTATATTGATAATTTAATAGCGATTACATTTAAAATATTATGAAGATGTTACATTGGAGATTTTTTTATGGTTAGGGTTGAGGCGTGGGGGGGGGGGGGGCAGTAAGGAGACATTTATCAAACCTGTCCCAATAAACATTTGACAATTGTACTTGACATGATCGAACGAATAAATCCAAGAAGTTAAAAGTACGCAAAGTGACGCTTTGCGGATATTTCTGAAGTTAAACTTTTGATTTCCTGACATCAAAACAAGATGAATACTTGATTTAACCTGCTCTCGAGTTAGAGTTTAAAATTCTTAAAAATTAAAGAGAAAGGATTTATTTTTAAATGATGTCAATTGAACAAACCTGTGGATCATAGCAATCAAAGGTTCCTTGACCCCCAGAAAATCCCATACATAGGGTCTCAGATTCAGCACAAGGTTTAGCCTGGAACATAGGTTTATTTGGTATCATACAAGTTTAGTTGGGAACATAAAGGTTCAGTTGGGAACATACAAGTTTAGTTGGGAACATACAAGCTTAGTTGGGAACATACAGGGTCAGTTGGGTACATAAAGGTTTAGTTGGGAACATAAAGGGTCAGTTGGGTACATAAAGGTTTAGTCGGGAACATATATGTTCAGGTGGGGACATATATAGGTTTATTAGGGAACATATACGTTTAATTGGGAACATAAAGGTTTAATTGGGAACATAAAGGTTTAATTGGGAACACACAGGTTTAGTTGGGAACATATAGCTTTAGTTGGGAACATAGGTTTAATTGGGAACACACAGGTTTAGTTGGGAACATATAGCTTTAGTTGGGAACATAGGTTCAGTAGGGAACATATAGATTTAGTTGGGAACATAGGTTCAGTAGGGAACATATAGTTTTAGTTGGGAACATATAGGTTTAGTTGTAATCATATAGGTTTAGTTCGGAACGCAAAGGTTTGGGAGAATATAGGTTTAGTCGGGAGCATATGTTTAGTTGGGATTAACATATAGGATTAGTTGGAAATATGAAGGTTTAGTTGGAAACATGAAGGTTTAGCTGGGAACATAAAAGTTTAGTTAGGAACATATAGATTTAGATGGGACATATTTAAGATTGGAAACATATAGGCTTAGTTGGGAACATATTGGTTTAGCTGGGAACGTATAGGTTTAGTTTGGAAGAGAAAGGTTTAATTTGGAGAAAATATGTTTAGCTGGGAACATATGTTTAGTTGGGAACATATAAGTTTAGTTGGGAATATAAAGGTATCGTTGGGAACATATAGGTTTAGTGGAGAACATATGTTTAGTTGGGGAAAAAAAGGTTTAGTTGGGAACATATAGGTCTAGCTGGAAACAAATGGGATTAGTTGGGAATTTATAGGTTTAGTTGGGAACATATAGGTTCAGTTGGAAATATAGTTGGGATTTTGAAGATACCAAAACAAATTTTGGATTAGTTTCTTTGCACACAAATTTTCTTTACGAGATTGATATTATAGAGTAAGAAAGTTAATCATGTTTTTGGCAGACATTTTGTTTTTAACTCCGAAAATGAATCTTTGTTAGAGGATTAGTTTACCACGAAAACACGATAAAAAGATAGCTACAGATATATATAGAGAGATAAATAGAGAGATATATAGAAAGATATATAGAGAGATATATAGAGAGATATATACAGATATATATACAGAGATATATAGAGATATATATAGAGAGATATATAGAGAGATATATAGAAAGATATATTGAAATTGCGTAAACATTCCCTTTACTTGTTTACCTCGTAATTATCAAATGTTCCTGAATAACAGAGTAATCCACTTCCTCCGGTTACAGGAACATCAGTTGTAACATTTCCTGTAGCACTCCAGTCATTACATTCAGATTCCTAAACATAATTCTGTTACAGGAACATCAGTTGTAACATTTCCTGCTGGTGCACTCCAGTCATTACATTCAGATTCCTAAACAGATTCCTAAACATAATTCTGTTAAAATACATCAGTTGTTATATTTCCTGTAGCACTCCAGTCATTACATTCAGATTCCTAAACAGATTCCTAAACATAATTCTGTTAAAATACATCAGTTGTTATATTTCCTGTAGCACTCCAGTCATTACATTCAGATTCCTAAACATAATTCTGTTAATACATCAGTTGTTATATTTCCTGTAGCACTCCAGTCATTACATTCAGATTCCTAAACATAATTCTGTTAAAATACATCAGTTGTAATATTTCCTGTAGCACTCCAGTCATTGCATTCAGATTCCTAAACATAATTCTGTTAAAATACATCAGTTGTAATATTTCCTGTAGCACTCCAGTTATTACATTCAGATTCCTAAACTTGATCAGAGCATGTTCAGCAATTGATATCTTAAATGTTTTCAATCATAACTCCTCTAATGAAGAGCTATGGCGAAGAACAAAAAAATATATGAATTTTTAATTCGCTTAATAAAGGAATTTAGTCTTTGCCACAAATTCCAATATCCATTCCCTATATTTTTGAACCTGATGTTTTAATTCATAGTTTAAAATATCTAAGGTCTACAACATTGAGATACGAAGATATAGGGATTAGATATTCAGAGTTTGCGGCAAAAACTTTAATTCCTTTGCTCTGTCTATTGTGCAGTGAGAGATTGGAATTAAAGAATAATGAGGATTTGTATCATTTCTTCTCTTGTTCTGTCCATAATTGCAAAGTGCACTGAGCTGAAAACTTTAGAATAAGATATCCTTAATCATGATTACTTAATCTGAGTATCCAATTGACACACTTTTGATTTTCTTCTTAAACCGTACTTTCTTGGATATAGTAGAGAAAAAATCAAAAACCGGTTTTTTAAAATTAGAGTCTCCCGTTTCTGTATGGCGCGCAAAATTTTAAATTTATCGTCTTCATATTCGCGACTCTGATTGGTTGAAATTTATACACTTTTTAGGATACAAGTACAAGATTAGGCTAGTCTCGATAATAGGAAAAGGGGAGGATTAAGCATTAATCTCAATATCCACCATTCTAAAGTTTTCAGCTCTGAAGAAATAATTTAATTCAATTCTGGAGGTGGCCTTTTAAGAGTTTGTCTATTAAAGTTTTTTTCTTTCTCACAGGAGTTCTTATTTCAGGAGTTTTTATTCTAAAGTTAATTTTGTTTTTCAGGAATTTGTCGATGACAATCTTCCACGAAAGACTATTTGCAACACATAATATTTTAAAAACACTAAATGAACATTTTCCATATAGTTTTATGTCCAGAAAGTTCTAAAGTTCTGCGATTATTAAAATTCAAGCTCTCCCAAACTTAGTATTCTTTCAACAGAGAAATATTTGATGCGTCAAAACTGTGGAAATTTAAGACAGGGTAGGTCAAGGAATATTATTACAGGAACCTGCAAAATCTAAGTTTACAAAATAAATGTACTGTAGTCTCTGGGGGGAATATAAACAAAACTCGACCTGAGCAACACTGAGATTATTTACGTTCCTGACAGAAACTGCAGTACACTAGATTTATGTAATTAGATATATTCAGGTTCCTTGTATATCTTCCTTGGAGTAGGGTATTGGTGGGATATTCTGAATAAGAAACAGGGATTCATGAACGGGTACAATGTAAACTAAAATATGCAAGTTTTAACACGAAAATCTGTCAGTACTTAATATTTTTTGATAACAGAAGCTCAAAGAAAGCGCTCTGTCACTTTTAAAAGCATAAGTGGGCTCAGGAAGCCTGGTCTTGAAATTTGATTAAGCTGTGAACGCAATTATCTTCTGCTGTTGGAGCTGTAGAGAAGATAAAAAAAAGGATTGAGGAGCAAAACAGCTTCATCAATAGTAAAAAAAATATTACAAAACAAAAATATGAATTATACGATTGAATACTGATATTGTGTATGTTTTTCAAACACACTTTTATTTACTAACGTTTATTTTCTAGGATTTCTGTTCTATGTACTTACATCACTTTCGTACATATACTACCTCGTGTATATTCAACCTACCGTACATAAGCAGACTGTAGTATCATTGTAGCAATGTTCATGGTGGCATAATTCTCCTTTGTAGCACCCAGCACCAGAATATTTTCCATCCTAGATAATACACTAACATCATTTAGTTTAAAGGTTTCACTAGTTTAAAGGGACTCAATGCGTAATTAAAAGTACCCTCCGATTCACAACGGTACTGATCAAAGATATGAAGGAGATATCCATCTTTTTCTGACTTATAATTGATTATTTAATTGTGGTTTTGCTATCTAAGTGATATGCAATTTGTGCTGCGGGCAAAATTAAGACAATTGACAGAATTCAGCACTTTGTTACAAGGAAAAACGAGAAAATCTTCTTCAAATTGTTAGTTTGAATGGTGGACTAATTGAAATCACGTCTCCACTGAAATAGAGTTTAAAGTGAATATTGAGATAAATTGATAAAATAATAATAGATTAATTTATTAATAGATGATGGATTAAATGACAAATAAATAAGAAATATAATGTATGATAGATATATAATGCATACTTTCTTATTATCTTCTCTATGTATAATTAATTAAAAAATATATTCTTATTTCCTTTTAGATGCAAGGTACAAGGTACATGGTACATAGTATTAAGAAGAACGGTGGCAGAATTTAAAAAAATTGAGCGGCGGTTTAAATTTAAGCCGCGGTTTAAATATGGTTGGTTCCACTTAAAATTGTATCAAACGTTTCAAGATTTAAGCCGGCGCTTAATTTAAACCGGGTTTTGGCGGATTTAAATCGCGGCTCAAATTCTTTAATTCTCAGATCTAAAAACTCATTTACGCCCTAAACTCTGAACATCTAAACAAATATAATAAAGGTCGAAAATTTTTTTTTAAAATCGTTTTTTCATTGATTCATCGAATATTAAGTCAAATATTTTAATACTTCTTGATCGTTTTCAAGTCAAATAATCACATTTGATTTGTTTGATTTCTACAGGACTGTCTAGTTTTTTTGATTGATCAGAGCTAAAAACCTTAGAATTATGGATATCGAGATCAATCTTGATTTCCTCTTTTTATTATTAAGATTAATTTAATCTTACAGTAATATACATGAAAGTATCTGAAATGCAAAAATCAGAGAATCGATTGTAGAAACCGAACAGCCAATCAGAATCCGAGAAATTTTGGAATTTTGTCATATATGTTTGATGAGATCAGCGTAATTGTCATATATGTATTCTGTACATGGTTCAGCTCTGTTTGATGAGATCAGCATATTTGTTATATATGTATTCTGTACAGAGTTCAGCTCTGTTTGATGAGATCAACGTATTTGCTATATATGTATTCTGTACAGGGTTCAGCTCTGTTTGATGAGATAAGGATATTTGTTATATATGTATTCTGTACAGGGTTCAGCTCTGTTTGATGAGATCAGCATATTTGTTCTATATGTATACTTTACAGAATTCAGCTCTGTTTGATGAGTTCAGCGTATTTGTTATATATGTATTCTGTACAGGGTTCAGCTCTGTATGATGTGATCAGCGTATTTGTTATATATGTATGCTGTACAGAATTCAGCTCTGTTTGAAGAGATCAGCGTATTTGTTATATATGTATGCTGTACAGAATTCAGCTCTGTTTGATGAGATCAACGTATTTGTAATATATGTTATATATGACAATATATATAACAGAGCTCAACCCTGTACAGAATATATATATAACAAAGCTCAACCCTGTAGAGAATATATATAACAGAGATCAACCCTGTACAGAATACATATATAACAGAACTCAACCCTGTACGGAATATATAACAGAGCTCAACCCAGTACAGAATACATATATAACAGAGCTCAACCCTGTACAGAATATATATATAACAGAGCTCAACCCTGTACAGAATATATATATAACAGAGCTCAACCCTGTATATATATATAACAGAGCTCAACCCTGTACAGAATATATATATAACAGAGCTCAACCCTGTACAGAATATATATATATAACAAAGCTCAACCCTGTATAGAATATATATATAACAAAGCTCAACCCTGGTCAGAATATATATAACAGAGCTCAACCCTGTACAAAATATATATATATATAACAGAGCTCAACCCTGGTCAGAATATATATAACAGAGCTCAACCCTGTACAAAATATATATAACAGAGCTCAACCCTGTACGGAATATATATATAACAGAGCTCAACCCTGTACAGAATACATATATAACAGAACTCAACCCTGTACAGAATATATATAACAGAGCTCAACCCTGTACAGAATATATATATAACAGAGCTCAACCCTGTACAGAATATATATATA